TAGTCTAAAATATAGGATAGGCGATACCATTAGGTGTAAGTTTTACGCAACAAAGCTAATGGTAAGAAACGATCGAATACATTCAGTTTCAAAATCACCTTGATCCTCACAAAAGATCAGCAAATGCAAGTGCTGTTTAGTCTCCTATAAGATGCAGATCAGCATGCATTAGCCAAAATCGACGTCGGCAACCATGTTGCGCACCCCGCTTTCGCACCAGTTGGCATCTGCATACTTCACTAATGTTTTGGTGGCCCCCTCATAATGGTTGGACGTGTAAAACACCTCAAAGATGCTGCTATTGGACACGGTGGGAGTTATTTGTGCGGGTGTTACTTCATGCACCATCGTAAGCACTTTATCCGGTGAACTACGGCATGTTAAATTTGGGTCAACAAGAAGTTTAAATTGCTCTTGTATGGCCCCCGAAATAGTCGTCAATATGGGAAACCTTAATCTTGGCAGTTCATGAATTGTGGCTCCAAGCAGCTACCGTCGTCTACCGCTGACATCTGTAATAATACATTGCTGCAGATAGTTAATGCGCATATACGGACGATGATTAAAGAGCATGGTCAAGTTGTGGAATATCATGTTGGTAGGGTATGACAAAAAGTAATCTAGTAGAATGAACAGATCTTGAAAGGCACGCTATCTTGGATGCCATCGAGTTGTTGCAAATCAACAAAAATCCGAAAACCTGGCGTTTGCCTCTTATAGTATCGACAAGCACACACATTGTTTTTGAAAGGTTTCTTCGGTGAAGGAAGGATCCCAGTGGCATACCTTTGAACCACGTCCAATTGTAAATTGAAATATTCTCTACAATGATTACCGTCACATTTCCCATGTTGTGTTGTCCCACAGAGACAGGATACTGCATGAAACACACAAGCAACGACTCCAAATTTTGAATGGTTTTCGTAATAGTTAATTGAGCTCTTGCAGCAAAAGTCACGGTGTGTAACACAAAGATTACAAGGAAGGATTATCGGCGAGCCACATATAAATCGTATATTCGGCTGGCGGCGCACGCAGTCGCTATCATCAGAAAATATTTGGTGCAGTTTGCGACCATCAAATCTTCCAGTACTCAATAAACACGTACCGTTGATCCTCGATCATTTCTATTACCGATCAATATGCCTTCGCTCTTGATGGCGACGAGAGACATTACCATATTGATAAAAAGTCTTGCGTATTAAACTTAAACGTAATACTATCGTCAGAATGAGCATAGCTTGACGACTGATCGAAAACAATCACACTTCAAAATAATCAAGATGATAAGGGGGGCAAAAAAATCGAGATTCTTTAAGACGTCTGAAAAGTGCTTACAACATTGTGGTGAGTGTGAAGGTGCAGTTCGCGGCTATAGGAAATGCGAAAAGGGACAGCTGATAGCAGTATCTAAAAAACCAAACAATAATTTGCAATCCACAATTGAAGCTCGGCAAATGAACTAAATGATGCCATCGTGCCACTTCGATTCCCAAGTGTAACGTCTGCCATCAATTCGACTTACTAGTGCCCCCGATCGGTATCGTCGTGATACATATGTATTATATATATATATATATATATATATATATATATATATATATATATATATATATATATATATATATATATATATATGTGGTATTCAGGATGATAGTGCAAGACAACTAGCGCAGCAGCCTGGTTATGAGATGGCGTCACCAGCCTTAAATATCGATCACGTAGAAGGAGTTGTTTGTTTCATGAATATTCGGGCGGTTGTGGTGAGGAATGAGGAAGGCGCTCTTCGTGAGCAAGAGCTGAAGAAGGATAGTACGAAACGGAAAAGCAATTGAAGCGGATCAAAATAACCCCAGTCAATTCGATATCATGTTTCACAGCAAATTATGCACATACAATCGTAAACCAGAGCAATGAAAAACTTCGCTAATGATTGGATATCAATATAATGCAGCGACGCAATCATAAATTCTCAAAGATATTCCTTATGCAATGCAGTTTTTTTCAGAAGCTTTTACCTCGATACAATTGGCTCACACGGTGCGTCACCCAGTATTTCACCAATATGACTGCTTTATTTGCACTGAAATACGAATATCAACCATTACCCTTCTTGGTCTGAACTGTGAGAGCCACATCCGTTTCGTCAACGATAGCTGTCCTAAAGTCGATCATGGTGGTGCATATTTCTACAAACCATCGAGACCTAGGGTCACAAAAGGGATCGAGAGGAAATACCGCCTGATCATGCCAGAGCAATCGGTAAATTTCTTAGTGCCGTCGTTAGCATGCCGAAGTACCATTTCGTCCATATGTGTACACCATGGAGACCATAGTCGTGAATGAAATCACGTCCGTATCATGCGACTTGAAATCACAGGTGCCCGACCGTAAACAAAGTGGCAATAAGGACATACCTGTTTCTGCACTCTAAAGAGGCTTTTGAAGTCGTACACTCCGGGTTTAGCTAAAGTCTCGGCCGTGATGGGCATCATCAAATAGCGAGTAAATATACAATCCAACGTGTATCGTCTCCTTGGAATATTGCTCATTTTGCATACCGTGCCATCGTCAATATTGACGATCACCCACAAGCACCCTCACGTCACACGAAGGCTTGCGATTCACATCACCTCGATCGATCACGTCGGCAATCTCAAAAGTCATAACCACTCTCTATATACCTAAACTGTCCTATTTGCGCGCGTTTTAATGTGGCTGATGTCTGTGACTACAATGGGCATGACTATCATACGTACTCAATTGCTTATGTGGTAACATCATTTCAGAAGCCGCGATGAGGGATGGTCTGGGCTTCAGCATCACACACTACTGCCTGCTACCTCTCACAGACCAATTTTCGCTAATAAGGCTGCGACGGGACGTCAAGCCACGAAGACCGTGGCAACAAGCAGACTTTACCAGGCCAGACGGACCTCCGTAAATGCCTCACTGTTTGAACTTCGAAGAAAGAAGGATGCATACATGAAAAGAGACTTGCTAAGTTATACTCTCGATGCAGGCATTTCGCAAAAAAGCCCAGCATTTTGAGAATACCCAAGGCTAATGTGATTAACTAAACGAGTGAACGGTTTTTCATAATCAAAGGCTGTGCATATTTGTTGTGCGCGTAGCTTGCAAACTGTGTCAACAGAGACTCAAATTGCAAATAGTGAGCTTATTTCCACCACAGTTATGTAATTTGATCCTGGCGCTGTTACTTTCGGTCATTTAACCAGAAATAGACACACGAAATTTTGCTCATGCAACATCCCTGTCATCGTTAAAATGGCGCATGTCGTTATAGCGATGTCGTGTATTCGATCACGGTTGATCCGGATAAATTCTTGTTCAGTATCTACACAGTGGTGGGAGGTACTAGTATTTTTGCTGAAAAGGTACTTGTGCAGGCAGAGTAGGCATGTCATGGTACTAATCTTGCAAAACCCTTTCTTTTTTTACTAATCAATAATTACTGTATAGAAATTGGTGAGAATGTAGGAAAAAGTGGATGTGAGGAGAGTCGTTTACCATACGTGATTTACCTTTTGTAAATATCATATAACGGGCTCACTCCGTTGCACTGGAAGTCTTCCCTGGACACAGACGCACTGAACTGCCTTGGCGATCCTGCTCAGTGTCTCTTTTGTTACTTCTTCACCTGATTGAATATGCAGCGTGTTTCGTCTTGTTCTGATTTCCCCTTTTCGCCTTGCTAGCAAAACAGTTCGTTGCCATCGTCATGCTCGTAGTCGTCGCGGTAGCAATTGTGGCTGGTCAAGACGGCAACAACGTATCCTCATTCCGTTTTGCTCAATCTTCTGCTTCCTCAAAAGTGCTCGTATCGCAAGCGGTGATTGCCGCCTGTACAGTCTCAAAATTGTGGTCAGCTCTTCTTGTTTCTTGCACGCTGCTTGCTCAGGAGCTAGCTCCACAACTTTCAAGTCCATCTGCCTCGCTGTGATCGTTCAATTCACATTCAATGTTGCCGACACCTTTGTAAGCGTGCAATATGTCGACATAGCTCTTCGTATGCTTCAGTAGTGTCTTCCATTCCCAACGGTTACAGCTCTTGAGTGTCTTTGTCGTCGCCTGCAGCTCGCCGCAATTGATGGCAATGCCTCCGACTTGCCAACCAATTATCTCTGTTTCTCGTATGCGGTGACTTCGTCTTCTGCCAGCTTCATTATCTCCTACACCCTGCAATTTGCAAGCCAGCTAGGATATACCTTAAGCAGTGCCATCTTGCCGTTTACTCGACGATGCACATGCGGGCTCGTAGAGCGACGAGTGATCACCCACCTCCGTCCCTTGTCTTGATGAGAGTACACTGGCTGAGAAGAAGCCTTTTTGACGGCGTTTCACGTCCTTCGTGACATGTGTCAACTTGCCCAGCTCACTGGTCAAATCTGCACTACAAACTGCGCCGCCTACTCTTCCGTCTTTCCATTCCGCTCGAGCAACCAGCTTGCAACCCCAAAACAATCTACCTCAATCGTCGACTTGACGTACGTGCTTCTCCACTGCAGCTTGTAAGAGTGCGCGATCGGACGGCTCCAAGACCGACGATTTATCCACAACGTCACAATACTGCAGAGACTTGCACATTGACAAGAGCCTGCAGTGTATGACAACGTGACGGCATCCATCACGTGCACCTCGTTGCACACTTATCAGGTACTTGGAGCGACGAACATCTCGTTGGATCGAGTCAGGAACGGGAAAATGATAGTTGCTCAAGAACAGATTCCTCACTCCTGGAACGGTCTTCGCCGCTGAAATGTCGAAGCTGATATCAGCATCGGTACAAGATAGACGAGCAAAAGCGACGTTCTTGTGTGTTGACGTCGGGCAGATGATGCCTGCGTGCCATCATGGGACAAACGTCAACATTTGCAAGAAAACTCAGTAGCTTAGTATAACGGTGTGTCGCTAGTCAATGAAACTCAAAATATTACGGGACTTGCAAAGCTTCTCGCTCTCGCGTGACGACAGTGGGCTTAGAACAACCGCGTGACACGGATGAAATCAGCATACAGCACGTAGCAGATGGTAACGATGAGCGCGAAAATGGTTGTGTACAGCACGATAGTGTTGGTGATGATCCGGCGCGTCATACGCTGCAGAACCCGTCGTGCTTCGGTTGTCATTGCCCCCGTCTCACGGACCTGAACATAACAATTAATCGTCAGCAATAGAGCCTAGACTGTTCAACACGCTCACTGAAGCGCAAAGGAAGGTCGTCGTGAGCTTACTTTTTCGTGAGTTCCAAGAAGAGTCTCCCGCTGCTGTGCCATTGTGTCTAGTACACTAATCCCGACCTCTTCCGTCTCAGCAACGATCCGATGCGTCTCTTCTAGTTTCTTAGTCGACCTGTGCAGCAGTACAGCAAGCATCACCATTTGTTCAGCTCTTCATAATCAATTGAATCAATCTTGCGCAGTGCAACATGCTTACATGGTAAGTCGATCATTATTCTTGACCAGGCGCTCGTACTGCGACATCTGAGCAGCACAACAGAACGTCAGGTATCACGTGCTACGTGCGATTCAGACAACATCCACTCACGTGATTTCCTGCGCTACTCGAAGCAACTTTGTCTTTCTGAGCCATGAGCTGTGCTCGCTCCACGTCTCGAATCAGCCCTTGCAGCTCTTCTCGGTACAAATTGATCTGTAGCAACACCGACAACGACAGTTTAGTTACTCCCCGGTAAATTTTAGCCATTAGTGACAAAGTTGAAGCTGTCATTCCGTACCTTCGTTTGCATCGCTCTTTTCAATTGCAGTGGTCGACCCCGCACTTCAACCGTCATGAGTTTGATCTGAAAAAAAGCAGTAGAAAAAAGCATAGCGGCATTCAGTCTCCGCTTACATATGTTGCGTCGAGGTTACATGTCCGAAAAAAACACACGACACAATTTTAGCCACTCACATAGCGCTGAGCTTCGACCACTCGCGCTTGCACAATCGGCGAAGCATTGCTCACTGTAGTGGCTACATGCCGCAAACATAAAAAACACATCACATCACGTCATCGCGACGAAAAGACGTACAAAAAACCCAACCACGGTATCAGCCTGGGTTTTTCATCACTTGGCAGATGCAAACTACAAGATGGAAGCGCCTACCTCTGCCACGTAACACGTCACCGATGCTGTTGTTGATAGCAATTTTGCAGTCGACGAAATCCGCTTCGAGCGACAGAAACTCAGCCGGGAAGTCGGCCGGTGCTGCCATGTTCTTGCGACTTGTGCTGGGTGAACGGGTTTTTTGTGTCGAGCTGGACTTGTGATTGGGTGTAATAAAACACACACATACACACGTATCCGGATACCTGTCCGTCGCTAAGTATACTGACCGAGTCTCTCTCAGTTCTAATTTAGTATGACAATTGGGAGAGGTCCTAGTTTTAAGATAGTAGGGTTGTCGAGGTTCACTATTAAAAAAGATAAGGTGATTTACACGATATCAGCTATTGGCTAGTAGTCAATATTTGGGACTGGTGCTGATAACGAGACTTTTGACCTAGGATGGTGCTGATAGTGAGATTTACTCTTAACAGACGCACAGACAGACTTACACACAGACAGATAAGTACGATGTAAAAGTTCGGTATTCCGTTTTGCGCACGAGGTATTAGAACTGTGAAATCTCCGAACTTACCCAGACATGCGGTTCATACCGTCAGCAATAGCAGTACGAGAGCTACGGTATGCCATTTCACAGGCCCTCTTCAATTCCATTTGTCGAACCCAAAGATACTTTTGCAAACATGGCGTGGCTCTTCGAGGCCGAGCCAACGAAAGCAGAGGATCAACTGGTGCGTGCTGCGCATCGACGTGCTGCTTCTACCTCGTTCTCCATCTCATCGTCTTTATCATGTTCTCGTGTGTGACGCAATTTGTTTTGATTTACGCTTGTCATGTCAATGTCTATGAATGAATTCATGTCGGTTTTTTTCCAATGGATCTGCCTATAGGTCTGGTTCCTGCTCTACCTCGTGATTTATCTCGCCTTCTACTTCTTCACCAGCCCCTTTGTGGGCAATCGTGAGCTGCTCAATTCATGGACGCCTTACGTCTACTTTTCCATGATACTCTACGCGTGGCTGTTTTCTGCTGCGGCATTGCACACGCCAGTGCATGCTTTAGGGCTACTGGACTCGACTATCAAACAACCGGTTGGCTGTACTTGCTGTCATTCTTCTTTTCATTTTCTATGACCTTGTTCTACTGACGCTCGCGTTGGCATAGATTTCGCTGCTCTTTCCCTTTTTCTCGGCCAGTTTCGTCTTTTTGATCATGCTTGAGGCAATCATGGTGCTCGTGCTGTCGCGGAAGATCTCACAGCGAGGCTTGGCATGGACGGTGGCACCTGTATCGTACGTCCCTTGTTTCTCGTATTGTCGGTTTCAATGATGCTGGAACAGTAAAATTGACACATTTCGCGATGGGTGTGGAGATTGGGGAGGTCGTTTATGAATGTGCTTGGCAATAGTGCTGCAGTCAGTGTCGCTTGCGTAGCACTGATTGTGCACTGCGACGCGACACGAGATTGTGCCGCGTCGCCAGATGAACCGAGGACATACAATAGCCACGCTTGTGCCCAGCTTTTTTCATTCATTCAGTTCGACGATCTAGAAACGCTCGTGCCTGGGAGGTAAAGAACAGTCGTGCACATCACATTTGGGTTTTGATATGGTGTATTCATTGCATGCTCGTACGTATGTTATAGCTACGGTGGTGCCATTCTGATCTGGTGCATGGGGATGCTACTAGCTACTACAAACTTCTTCCTCGAACGTGTGAGCGGAGTCCGCGTGATTTCTTCCTTTGGCTGGTTCTCCAACCGAGCTGAAGAAGATGGTAGCGGGGCGGCTGAAGACGAGGACGGCAGCGAGCGCCTAGCGCCCGACCAAAACCTGCCGATGGTGCCCTGGTATTCCATGCTCCTGATTGACACAGGATTCGATCTCCTCATCTCGCTCAAGGTTTTCCTTGGCCGGTTTGACATGCGTACGATGCAGCGAGCGCTGCATCCCAACGACGAAGACTACTGCTTTGACCACCTCGCGAAGAAGGACGAAGTGTGGCTTGATTTCATGGCCGATTGTGGTGACGGCTTCAACAGCAGTTACCAGATCGCTCGTTTACTTGCTCAGCCACAGCTCGAAGTGGATTGCAAGGTGTCCGACGAAAAGACTAGTGGCAAAGCTGTGCCCGACGGAGCTAATGTGAAGGCGGCCAAGAATAAAACAGTCAAGCGAGTGTTTCCGCGTGGTGACGCCCTCGTGATCGGTGGAGATCTCGCCTACCCACATCCGGATAGTCAATCGTACGAAACGCGCCTATTTCGATGTTTTGAGTATGCCATGAAGCCGCCAGCTTGTTATCACCCATCGGCTATCTCTACACGGAAGAAAGCTCCTGATGGGTGCTCATCGCTGCGTGAATATGAAGGTCCTAGTGTATTTGCGATTCCGGGAAACCATGACTGGTTCGATGGCCTCAACACGTTCATGCGGTACATTTGCCAGCGCGATTGGCTGGGAGGATGGTTGCTTCCGCAAAAGACAAGCTACTTCAGCATCAAGCTCCCTCATGGCTGGTGGCTGTTCGGTGTGGATTTAGCTCTGGAAAATGACGTTGACACCGAGCAATTTGGCTTTTTCGAGCGAGTGGTGCAGTCGCAAATGGGTCCAAATGACGCGGTGATTCTAGTCACTCACGAACCGCGCTGGCTGTTAAACGTCTACGAGAAAAAATCCAACGTGGACGTCAAACTAGCCTACCTTATCGAGCACATACTCAAAGGTCGAGTTGCTGTACGACTTGCTGGGGATATTCACAACTATATGCGTCACTCGTTGGTGGAGGAGAAGCACGTCCTAAAGCGTCCCGCCTCTATGCAAGTTGATGTATTGCAGCCTAAAGTCTCGAAGGCGAGTGTTCATCGCAGTCACTCGTTCTCGACTCCTGTCCACAAGCACTTTCCACACATGAAGCGCGACGGTGACACTGACGAACAGGGACATGCCAAATTGCGGTCGGATCTTCCAGCTGAGCACGGACGCTCTGCGGAGCATTTGATCATCTCTGGTGGCGGGGGTGCCTTTTTGCATCCAACGCATGTGCCTAGTCCAAGTTTGAATTACATTGGTGGAACGTACGAGCACAAGACGTGCTACCCGCCGGCACATGTTTCGAGGTACGATGTCACATGACTTTCATCTTGCTGCATAAAGTTCCTGCTTGTGTATAGCGATGCCAGTACGGAATCATGACTTATTCCCTTTATTTATTCTGCCCTAGGCGCTACGCAGTGCTAAACGTTTTTGGCTTCCGCCGGCTCAACTGGCGTTTCGATGCGATCGGCGGTGTCGGGGTACGCTGATACAGCGTGCTTCCTGGCTAGATGCTTTTGTAAGACCCGTGCGCTCTGCTATTCTGACTGTATTATGTTATGATGCGGTGTTGTGGTGGTGATAGTATTTCGCGCTGGTGTTCTCCATGTTTCCACGCTGCTCGGTTGGATCCATCTATGCAGCTGCAACGCGATGGGAGGCGGTGGCGCAGTTTTTCCAGGAGCTCGTTTCGTTGCTTGTTGACATGGTGATGACATCGAATGTGTCTCTGTTGTGCTGCATCGGTATGCTCCTGGCAACAATTGGATTTGCAGATTGCACCACGTTGCCAAAGAGGTGTGCAATGGGCCTGGTCGTGTCATGCTTCCACTTCGTGGCAGCCTTCACCGTTTTACTCGCTTACGAGCTTCTACTCGAAGTAGCATCAGCTCGTGGTGCTCTCGGTCGCGAGGGCGAGCACACTCTCTACCTCTACTTCAGCAGCACACTCCCCGACTTCTCTGCCATTCGCAAGTACGATGTGTTTAGACTTGCTTCGCTGTATGGAGAATTCATGCGGCTCTGTATGACCATCTACGACGGTAAGGCGTGCATGTTGCAGCTTAATCAATACTGATGAGGTTACTGACGCTTGCTTGTAATTTTTCGTAGTACCGGAGGTAGTTGCATTGAAGCGCATCAAGATTTGCGAGTCAGGGTTCGAGAGCCTCGGGCGCATGGAGTTATGGACATACTACGCCAGTGTGTTTCCGTACTTTTGGGTGCTGGCCACGCCAGTGGTTAGCTTTGTCTTTGGCACGTACCTGTACCTGTCGCTCAACATGTTCGGATGCCACTACAACGAGGCGTTCTCATCGCTGCGCATTGCCAGCTACAAGAACTTTTTGCGACTGCATGTTGACAAGGACGGTCGACTCGAGGTGTTTGCTTTTGGCGTGGACAAGATGCCGCACCGCTGGTGCAGGTACGAACAACTGCGTGACCTATCAACGTGTTACGCTCGCCCTCATCACTGACGGAACTTTCTAATGTCACTGCTTGCTGTAGAGATTCAAAGTGGAGTGGCGGTACTGGACCTCGAGCTTCTCTAGAGAGGAACTTGCCGTCGTTCAAGTGGACCCGCCCAAGCTACTGGAAGCCATTGGTGACCAAGGTGGACAATATGCTGCGTATGGACTTTGAGAACCCGTCTCTTGACGGCCGCTTCAATTCGCTCGACCGCTCGAATGTGCATCTGATTGATCGTGTCGTGGTCCACAAGCGATCAACGACGCCTGGACAGCAGTAGCGACATGGGTGTACCCATGTCACTTCAACATGTGCCCTTTTTCTTTCGCTCGTCCTTTTGATCGTTTCACATGGCTTCAGCCTCCCGCGCTCGAATCTTCGTTCACGATAAACCTCATTCAGGGTGCCCCATACAAACAATACGAGGTGTTTTATGTGCTTGTGAAAAGGGGTTCTGCGGTAAAAAACCTCACTGACACACGGCTCGTCACTTGATGTTAGTATGCTCGTTGGTTGGTGGCCAGCGATCGAGGAGCTCCTGACAGCAACTCGCTCCACTCGTTCCTGTCGAGTCATTCGTGAACTTGTCGCCTGGTCGACATGGTGAAGCGCAAGAAGCATGACAAGGACAAGTACTACAACCTGGCCAAGCAGCAAGGCTACCGCGCGCGATCGGCCTTCAAGCTCATCCAGCTGAACAAGAAGTATGACTTTCTCTCGACTGCTAAAGTGTGCATCGACCTCTGTGCTGCACCGGGTGGATGGTGCCAAGTCGCGGCCAAGTACATGCCGGCGTCCAGTATCATTGTGGGCATTGATCTGCTGCCGATTCGTCCAATCCGCGGCGTCAAGACGTTCCAGTGCGACATCACAACGGCTCGGTGCCGTCAGATCATCAAGCAGGAGATGCAGAGCTGGCAAGCTGACGTGGTGCTCTGTGATGGAGCTCCAAATGTCGGGGCCGAGTACTCGAAAGACGCCTATGTGCAGAACGAGCTGGCCCTTGTCGCTCTCAAGCTTGCAGTGGACGTGATGGGACGCGGAGGCACGTTTGTGTCGAAGGTCTTTCGCTCTCAAGATTACAATGCGCTGCTGTGGGTGTTCAAGCAACTGTTCAAGAAAGTGAGTGCGACCAAGCCACTGTCGTCTCGTAACGAGTCGGCCGAGATCTTTGTCGTGTGTGAGCAGTTCTTGGCGCCGCACTCGATCGATCCTAAACTGTTTGATCCCAAGCACGTGTTTGACCAAGTGGATACTCAAGAGCAGACGATCACGATCTTCCATCCCAAGTTTGGAGATCGCAAACGTCATCGTCAAGGTATGTTGTGCACACAGAATGTGATTTGTATCTGTCTATTTGTGTGTGTTGGATGTACGTACTGGCTGCATCTTCTAGAGTCACTAGCGGCCTGTCCCCATTGGTTGCTAGCGCTACTTGCAGCCGAGAGCAATATCAAGCGCTCCCAGTGTCTGTATCGGGTACTACTTGCTTTTTCGGAAGCAGGTGGTGCCTCTTGCTTGCAGTTTGGGGCGATGACCTATGACATTATTCCAAGCTGATAGTATGGTTTGATGTGACGGTATGATGGATGTATCTAACGGCGTGAATATATGGTTGTCTGTAGGTTACGACGATACGTTGGGCGTGACGTTAACAAACGAGTGCAGCGTGTCTCAGTTTATTGACGACCATGATCCGATTCGACTATTGACGGACACGACCAGTATCAAATTCCTACCTGAGGACGATGTATATCGAGAACACCGGGACACATCGGATGAAATTGTGACCTGTTTGAGCGACCTCAAGGTATGTACCAGTTGCAACAATGACTTGTGTGCGTGGAGTTGTGGTCGAATAGAAGGAAATGAGGATTCAAAGCTGAAAATGTCTGAGCCCCTCTGTTGTTTCGGCGCCCGATTAAGTTTGGGAAAACCCACCGGAAGCCAGAGCGTGGTGGTGCTGTCACCTGCCCTTGAGCAGTCTGATCCTTCTCTTCACCACATGAATGGGTGTTGGTAGCACATTGTATTGGATTGTCTAATAGATGATGCTGTTGTCTGTACCTTCAGGTGCTTGGTAAGTCGGATTTTAAGAGTTTGCTGAAGTGGCGGACGCGCATGCTCAAGTACAAAGAGGAGCTACTAAAGGCTGAGAGTCCTGAAAAGACGGAAAAGGAAGACAAGTCCGAGGAATCGAAAGAGCCTGAGTGTGTCTTAACTGAGAGTGAGAAGGATGCTCTTGTCCGGGAAGAGCTGTCTCAGCTGCGTGCCAACGTGCAAGCGAAGAAGAAGCGTGAGAAGAAGAAGGTATGTTCTCATGTCATTTTCCCTGCCAGTTCTTTGCATGCTGTGTATTTTTTCATGCGAGCGCATCCCAGTAGTCTTTGTCATACACTCGATTGACATGTCGCGGATTAACCCTCCCGACTCCCGTTAAGCGCTCAGACGAAAACGGTCCCTCATCCTGTCCTCGCTGATCCATGCGAGTGGCAATCGATTTGGGCTGGACATTCGCGATTAGACATGCGTGTGTGCATTTGATGTATGTGTTTGGCGGCAATCCAAAGCCCCTTCCAATTCCATTTGGTCGGATTGGTCCTTGAACAGACCGGCTATTGAAGCCGCCAAGAAGGACATGCAGCCTACAGCTGTTGGGGTTTACTGTACCATGATACCTCTAACCGTTCTTGTGCTCAGACATGCACAAATTGATGTATGCATATCAACTGGTAGCTTGATCTTGAAGCAGTCAACTGACTTGTTTCTTGTATCCGTATCCAGGAACGCGAGCAGAAGCAAAAACTTCGTCTTCGGGCGGCGATGGGAATGAATGCCAAAGGCATTGACATCTCTGAAGCCGATGCTACTTTCAGTCTGAAAGAGCTGAAGCTGTCCAAGAACAAGGTGGACGAGCTTGAAAACACCGGCGCCGATCTGACGTCTGATGAAGAGCTTCAGTTTGAGACGGATGATGAAGATAGTGGCAGTCTTGGCGATAGTGATGCCGAGTACGACGAGTTGCTGGAAGCTTCAATGGAGGCAGCGTATGAGCAGTTTTTGACTCGTCGTGGCGACGACGTGAAGACCCGCAAGGCCGTGAAGCGGACAAAGGTCGCGAAGCGAGCCATAGCCGGTGAGGCGCTTGTGCAGGACAGCGAGATGTTCGATGGCGACATGAAGCAGTACCAGCAGATGATCAACCCCGACGAGGTATGTGCTGTTTGCATGTTTGTGTGTCTGCGTGTCACCCATCCGTGTTATCTGTTCCGGGTCGATCAGTACCTTCGCTCAGTTGTCAAACATGGGGAAAAGCATCCTGAATGCTCATGTCTGACTGTGCCTCTTGACCCTTGTGGTTCTCGGAGGTGCAGTCCTTTGAGCAGTCGACATTCCGCATTGCGTGTGTAAATTGTTTCCATGTGGTGACTATGTATCTCACCACAACACTTGTTGCTTGTTCGCAGAGCTCCGATGATGACGACGACGAGGCCGATGAGTTGAACGTGTCGCTCCATATGCCTGAAAAATCGAGTGCAGCTGTCTCTCGCTGGTTTAGCGACAACAAACTCTTCGATGGCATTGGCGAGAAAGAAGAGTTGTCGCTGCCTGAAATGCCCAAGACCGACAAGGAGATCCGTCATGCGAAGCGTAAAGCTGCGGCAGAGCGCAAAGAACGTCGCACAGCGAAAAAACTGAAGAAGGAGGCGAAAGACTACGAGCTTGAATTCGGCACGGAGTTCGAGGTCGCTGCTGGAGACTCTGATGACGAAGCTGCTTTGGTCGCTGAAGCTGCTGATGGGACGCACGACGATGCGGAGGCTGTTGAAAAGCGGGCGCTGATTCGGTCTGGGATGGGCGCTGCACTGGAAAACGATTCCAGCTCAGCAGACAAGTTTGAGGTCGTAGCTGCTGGCGATGAACCCGAGGACGGACTTTTGCCAGTTGGGGACGATCGCAAATACGACTCGGACCACGAGGTGTATGACGCCGAGGACCGTGCAAAGACGCTTGCTCTTGCCACGATGATGGTCCGGAAGTCGAAGGCGAAAGACTTGATCGACGCCAGCTACAACCGGTACACGTGGAACGACTCGGAAGCAATGCCCGATTGGTTTGTCGACGATGAAGAGAAGCACTACCGTCCTCAGCTCCCGATCCCGAAGAACGTCCTGGCGCAGATGAAAGAGCGGTTCATGGAGATGGCGACCAAGCCAGTGAAGAAAGTGGCTGAGGCACGTGGTCGCAAGCAACGGATGGCAATGAAGAAGCTGAAAACGGCGAAGAAGAAGGCAACCGACATTGCCAACTTGCCCGATATGTCCACGCGTGAGAAGCTGAAGGCAATCGATCGGGCCATGAAAGGCACACACGTCAAAAAAGAGAGCAAGGTGTACGTCGTGTCGACTCGTGGCGGGACCAAGACTGCTGGTGGCAAGAAAGCTGGCAGGGGTAAAGTGAAGCTGGTGGATCCGCGCATGAAGAGCGACAAGCGCAACGCGGAAATCCGTGCCAAGCGTGGAAAGAAGCGGAAAAGATAAGCGTGTCATTCAGCCCGCTCTGCAGCAAGTCCATGCGCTGGCACGCACTTAACTTATCAACGTTGTAATCAAAGCACCCGTTGTATCATGAAACATGTCGGTGCTTTTGTTGTCATCAATCACTTGCGTCGATCACGAGATTCACTGTTCACTCCATTCCCACGCTTCATGTTTTGTGACTTGAGCTTTGGCGGAATATCCGAGATGTTCGCTTGCTTTCCGATGCAGAAAGTAGTAAGGCACATCAAGTTTCGGCAGCTGTGGACGAGTGGCATTGTTTACTTGGAACGGCGAGGTATTGGTGATATCAGACTCTGGTTGTCCATCTGAACGATCCTTCCGCTGCAAAGCTTGCCTGGTATTGTGCTGTCGAAACACAAGCTCACTAATCTTGTTAAAACTGCACACTGGACACGGTGTCTCGCTCGCACCACGCTTAAACTCGCGCACAAAAGCTTCCTTCGTTGCAGACAAAGACACTGGCAGTGCACTCACGCGCTTCTCAAACTCCAGTACTACCTCTTCTTCAAACACGCGCTTTGGGAAAAGATGGCCACACGTAAACACCTTCATGTGAGTCTCCAGTGGATCGGTCTTTCCAAGGGCTTGCGCTGAGTGAGGTGCAATGTGAACAAACTTGTGCGACAGATCGTTCTCGACAACGTTGTTCTTCACAAGCTCTAATTGATCCATCGGTGACAGCGAACTGGGGCTCAACAACTCCTGGTTCACTTGGTCTTTCTCCAAGAGCGAAACGCATACGCGAAAGAGGAACTGCCCTGTGAACGAGAGATGCTGGCACTTTCGCACCCATTCTTTGTCCCGTTCATCGAAACTATCGCCATGACCTTCATATAACGCTGACATCGCCAGCCCGACCGACTCAGGCCGTGGAATGGAGCGTATGACCTCGGAGAAGAAGATCTGTGCCAACAACGGCGACACGTGCGGGAAAACGTCCAGATCCAGGAGAAAGGTTTCTAGCTCGGTGCTTTGCAGCCCGTAGTCGAACCATTTGACCAGAATACGCGCAAGGATAGCGGCGCGAACCTGGTCGGATATGGCTTTCGAGCTACGCGTCTGGACGACAAGCGATCGTAACAACCCAAATAACTCTTCGCGCATCCGGTCATGAAATTGAACACCGGTCACGGCACTAGCGATCGGGTCGCCCGAGTATCGGCCATACGAAGTGACCGCATCCATCGGCGACGTTGATCCTTCGATGAATCTTGCAGGCAGCAGCTTTGCACTGTGTGCATTGTGCGACTGCAAACGACATTCCAGCGCTTCCACCAACTCTCCGTGCGCTTCGTATATACAAGCCGCTGCAGTCCAATTCTCATAGTCCACACATCTGGCTACCATAATAGGCGGACGATATTGATTGGCCAAGTCCTTCAGGAGCATCTCGAGACTGGCCTGTGAATATGCACCATCACATCGTTCCGTGTCGTCAGTTGTTGATTGCGCTCTTGCGTGATCACCATTGTAATTCAATCGAAGCAGTAACGTCAAGTAAAGCTCAATGTGCTCTTCTGGAGACGAACGAATGAACTCAGACGTGGAGACATCAGAACATGGCCCACTCAACAACCGTTTGTCCACTGTTGCAAAAGGAATCAGTCTGCTGCTTTCTGGTCTTGCAGGATCAATCTCAGCAACGATCTTGCGGCAAAGCATCCGAGAAATGGACGGCGCGTTCCGCACAAGCCAGTCTCGGTGCTGGAAAAGAGATGACGGGTGTGCTAACAACACCTCTGCCTGGATCTCAATCGGGAATGACCGCAGAATCAAGCGACTTTGCGGACATGTCAGCGCAGCGGCGTGACCCCATCGAAGCAAATAGCGCAACATTTGCTCAGATAGAGAAGACGCTAATCCCTCGTGGACGATCTTCTCGAGTGCTTGTGGTACTTCGTTTCGTCGAGTCGCGACGAGAATGGCCTTTTCCACGTCGCTCTGCGATAAGCAGAGATCCACAACATCCGCGGTCACGTAATCGCAATTGGTCTCAAAAAAATCCACGAGGTATGTCGCTCTTGTCTCATCCTGCTCATCGTCTGCTGACAACACTTGTTCGACTCCTGTATCGAAGGATTGGTGCTTTTGAAGTTGCTGTCGAAGCAACAACTCCACTGACAAATAAGCTATGCGTCCCCGTTCCAATTCATCGTACGGTGACTCTCCCACAGGCTTGGAAAGTACATGTCGAGCGTAGTCTATGGCGCTCTGTACACCACCCATCGCGGTTATCTGTTCGATTGCACTAGATGGTACAACCCGTGACACCTCAAACAGATCGCGTACCCATCGAACAAGTTGTACATCTGCGTTTGCGCTACCGTCAATGACACTGGTGTACAAGGTGTTTGCGGCAACCTGACAGAGCGAAGCCATGTCAATACCGAGCGCATAACCGATCGATAGAGCATCTCGGAGCGCAATAGATTGCGCACACAGTGCCTTGAAGAGCGCTAAACGAGACCATTGCGGTCGGCACTCGTAAACGTGGTGCTTCGTTTGAAGGACGTAAATAATCTCTGCTTCACCTGGCTGGTTGCTTCCGACGCTTCCGTTGGCACCACGTATATCCCGTTTTCGAACGGTACTCTGCACCACACGCTCGATCCTTTCGTTTCCATGCAGCGAGAGGTAATGCACAATGTGTGCGTTCACGACGCCTTCGTCAGCCGCTTGATGAGAGGGGAGGGAAACCCACGTCGCAACTGTCTTGTTAGACTTGGATGTACGACCTTGGAGCAGCATTATATCCGTTGAACAATAAGTCAAGTCCACGTCCACGACTTCATCGATTTCCTTAACAGCCTCTTGGTCTTGTACTCCCTCTTGCCGTTCATTGTTGCTGTCGCTGCTTTTGGCTTCACCACTTTCGTCCGTGCCATCAGAAGACGAAGGCAGAAGATCGGGCATCTTATACTCACCTTTAGGTCTCCAATGAAAATTGGAGTACACATTGGTTCTTCCCTTCTTGCAATCATACAGCGCCAGTGACGACTCGGAGCTCAGCGCGTCGTTAATAGGATACAAACACACCTGAGGGGAGTTCTTCTTGATACGCTGTGGTCGAAAATCCAGATCCTCAAGAAAGTGTTGAGGAAACGTCTTGACAACATACTTTGGCGTTTTCTCAACACCGGACGGACTAGACGGTCCAACTTCAGTCGTTGCAGTAAACTTTGTCGTACTAGAAGACGACAATCCGCCATCCGTCGTCGCAATCTTGAGCGCTGACGTCGCATGTGCTACTACTCCCTCGTCTCGCTTCATCGTTCCTCTTGTCGATGCTACCTGTGGTCTCAATTGGCACTTTTTTTCCAGCACCACGCGATAATAGCGTACTCCACATCCCCCAGCATCTCTCTCCTTGTCGTCATCAATCTCGTCCGTTTTCGTCTTGACAAGCATCGACGTCCTGCATTCTTTGCGAAACTTCTCGTACAGCAAATCGATACTGACAATCGTCCCCGCTTGCACAAGTTCACATCGACACTCTTCAGCATTTTCTTCCACATTCACAATTGAGATCAAGCTCTCCGAGCCGCCCACGAGACAATAATTCTTGCCATTCAGCGCTCGCCACCATCGGACGCACGTGATGGTCCCGATCCCAGGCGCAAATTCCAATATGCTCATCTGCTCGTCGTCCCCGGCGACTTGAGAGTGGTACCGTGCTCCATTAAGACCGCCAAACTCATTAGTTGCTCGAAGGTACGACGCCATTTGCGTCGTCATAGCTGCTTGACGGACACTTAGAAGTTCGGGATAGTGGGACCGGGATTGAGATTGGGACGGGCGGTGATCAGGAGCGTGGGACGACGCGGCCAGCATTGCTCGACGCTGATTGGCTACGAGCTTCAAGATCGGGATCACATGAAGTCGGTTCTTGCGGGACGAGAGCGCTGCGAGCCAATCGCCTTCGGGACTGAACTCGAGCGCCGAGAGCCGCTCGGCTTTGCCTGCCTGCTGCTGCTTGAGGGTCGAACAGACGGGGAAGCGCCAGAACCGGACGCGCTCGTCTTCTTCGATTGTCCGGATTAACAGGAAATTTGTATGGGCGTCTGCGGGTTTCAGCGGGACGGAAGACGAGGACCCGTCGCTTGGGACGTGGGACGACGAGGGCGGCCCGGGGATCTCTTCACTCACGGCCAGCGCCAGCAGCTGCTTCTTGTCCATTGTGTACACGGCCATAGACGAGATCTCGAGCGCTGGCAGTGCAGACGACGACGGCGTGGGGAAGCCAACGAGGCGCTGGATCTCGAACAACAGCGTGGAGCTCGCCATGGCGATTGTGGGATCGTGGGATGCTTGTCAAATGAGTGATTAATAGAGAGGTCAGTAGAAATAGAAATGGAAATAGAACCGTGAGGTGTGTCTGGGCTGTCTAATGTTGTGAACAGGCACGAGGGGGCTCGAGTGATCAAGTTTAGCAATCCCGTGAGTAGACGCATGAAGTAACGCGGACGTTAAATACGATTGTTTTTGGCACGCGGGTGCAGCCAGCCAGCCAGCCGTCCCAGCCAATTGATTCGCATCAGTCGGGGTCATGAGCGACTTAACCGTCCCGCAAGTGGCGCAACAGGCGGTTCTCGTGCGGTCGGAGGACCTGGAAGGCAAGCGTGCGCACGTGCGTGGGTACGACTTTAACACGGGCGTCGACTATGAAAAGCTGTTGCAGTCGTACGTGACTATGGGGTATCAAGGCACGAACTTGGGCAAAGCCATTGAGGAGATTCAGCGCATGCGAAAGTGGCGCTTAAGTAACGATAAGAACGAAACTGACAACCTAGATGCAAACGGGAACATCCAAAATACAAACGAGCCCGACCTGACGGTACCTCGAGCTTCCATCAAGACGAAGATCTTTCTAGGCTACACGTCGAACCTCGTCTCAAGTGGTTTACGTGAATCTCTGCGGTTTTTGGTGCAGCACAAAATGGTGGACGTCCTTGTCTCGTCTGCCGGTGGCATTGAAGAAGATTTCATCAAGTGTCTCGCTCCCACGTACATTGGAGATTTTGCCTTGCCAGGCCCCAATTTACGCTCTCGGGGGCTCAATCGTATTGGGAATTTGCTTGTACCCAATGACAATTACTGCAAATTTGAAGACTGGCTTACCCCTATTTTGGACGCCATGCTCGAGGAACAAAAGACACAAGGCACTGTGTGGTCTCCATCTACGGTGATCCATCGCTTGGGCAAAGAGATTGACCACGAAGATTCCATCTACTACTGGGCGTATAAGAATGACATTCCCGTCTTTTGTCCGTCCCTCACCGATGGATCCATTGGTGACATGATGTACTTCCACTCGTACCGGAACGAAGGTCTTGTAGTGGATATTGTGAGCGACATTCGTCGAATGAACGACCACGCGATTCGTGCACCTGGCAAGACGGGTGTGATTATTCTGGGTGGAGGTATGGTCAAGCACCACATTTTGAACGCAAACCTCATGCGCAATGGCGCAGACTTTGGGGTGTTTGTAAACACGGGCCAGGAGTTTGATGGCAGCGATGCAGGGGCACGTCCCGATGAAGCTATTTCGTGGGGGAAACTGCGTCTGGATGCGACACCGGTGAAATTGTATGCTGATGCGACGTTGGTGTTCCCCCTTATTGTGGCCGAGACGTTTGCAAAAGACTTTCACGCGGAGAAAGCGCAAGACGACAGCACTTGTCAGATCAAGCGCTCGTAGTACACATAAACGGAGCTACTGAGCGGACGCAATGAGTTGGACTTGTCAAGGATACATCGTGCGACCACCACTGCTGTATATTTACTGTGCCGAATCGAGTCTTGTCGCGATTCTGTTTGGATCCTAGTAGTACGCGATTATTATTTCGTGGACGTCTGTCGTCTATCTCTGACTACAGCGTCAAATGGGTTAAGAGAATTCAAGGAATGCAAGACGGTGACTGCAGTCTTCTACGAAAAGCTTCAGAATACGCCACATTTGTTGCAAGTAAGTTTTTTAGCAAGCTCGCAGGACGATCTTGGATAGTGCTGGATGCAGCCATCATTAGCGTTTACGTGATGTCGTTACAGAACGGTCAGGTGTCGCGTAAGTAGTGGTAGAATCACTACTCATTGTGCTACCAGCTGACGGCTTGCTAACAAATCACCAGCTTAACAGCTTTTCGAGCAGCTTTTGTTAACAGAATTGGTATCATCAGCTAAATTGACAAGAGCTTCTCAATTTGACCTATCTTCGAAACGAAAGACCCAAAATAAGGAGTCATCTGCTTTTGGCTTAACGGGATGAACCGATCGCTACGATGGAAGTCGTAGCATCGATGCAGCTGGACCTGCACGCTCGCATGGAAACAAAGAAAGGGCTAGCGTGTCTCTCGTGTTCGCAAATGTATTACGGTCCGGGTACGCTGTTCTGCAACAACGGCGCGGGAACTGGACCTTACTCTGTCTCAATCAAGAGCTGGTACTGAGATTGCGCTGCTCCGTAGGAGAGGGAACGTGTTGTCACAGATTCCGGTTCATTGCATATCATGATGTAGTGCTCAACGTCTTAGATGTTCGGCTGGCTTACCTGGAGTAGATGCTTTGTTTGGATAAAGTAGAGCGCAAAATGAGTTGGGACGGCTGTAATCTTCAGCGTGCGTGAACACTGACAACGATTTCGGAAGTGCCTGCCGGAAAGCTACATGCATACACGTAGTTGATCCACACTGCTTACCAAAAGAAAACAGGTTGGCTGAATACTTTACGATGCGATAACTCATCTTCGCCACTTGTGAAAACTCGGCTGCACTTGGCGGGTGAAGCTGACTGGCAAGTGACTCAGCGTCGATGAATGTCCATTTGACGTTGGCCATCACACATTGCACCGCAAATTCAAGCATCATTGCGGCTTCATCTTCTCTGCAACGCGTTCCAATTGATTTGGAGAAGATGGCACATGGACAGCGGCAGACAATACGATGAGCATCAACACGTGCTTGCAAAAAGAAAATGGAGGCGGCCGAGTTCGTAATGCATACTCGGGTCCGAGCGCGCATCCTGCACACACGACTGGGTGCAAGCAAGTGTAGCCGCGAGGATGATAACACCATGACTTAAGAGCCAAAAGTTCTTGGCAAAGCGACGCGGCTATGCTCAGCAACATCAATAGAGGTCTGGAACACATTCACTTTGTGGAATAGCATGTAAGCTAGCATCTCGACGTCTGGACGTCATGAAAGTTCAGTGGCCGTGTGGGCTCAGATGCATTGGCAGGTTCTACGAGGTGGTCAACTCTTAGGTTGTTACCAACGCATAGAGCGTAGCCATTTCAGTAGTAGATTGAGCGTTGCCAACGGATTGAAGAGACCCGGAAAGACGTTCGCCCGGCCGAGGGTAAGGTCTGACTGTTACACACGAGTGTCGTGTCGAAGGGAAAGTGTGAGCCCGCACCCCATACCTTTACTGGCGGTCAGGTCGTTCACACGGAAATTACTGTCACCTCGCCATTAGGGCAAAAGCGATTCGGCGAGAGGATGTCCTACGTGTCGTCCGGTCTTTCCACGCTGGAGCGTGCCTTCTCAACCCAACAACTACCAACACTCAATCCAATATCCAGGCCCTCCCTACTTGTTGGGGTTGTGCTTCTAGGAGCCCCTACTAGCACATGCACCGATTGTTTCTCGTCCATGCCCTTTTTTCTCTCGTTTCCAGCATTGCGAGCTTAACATCGTGCTTCTGTCTACGTGATGTGGCTGTCGCACGTCCCGACAAGCTCGCTGGGGAAAGGCCAGGAAAGAGGTGTGGCATAGACCAACCAACCGACCAACCGAGCCCCTCCCTCCCTCCCTCTCTCTTCTTTTCTATGTGCATCGATCCTAATTTGTGCATTCTACATTGAACCAGACAACAAGTCGTCTGTCGCACGTCGCGACTGCGGTCCGTGTCAAGGAAACGTCCTTCCACGCGCATACACACGATCAAACGAGGCGAAGACGAGCCCTTTGGTCGTGACTTCGACCAGATGCGATCGCCTGCCTGCGAACATGTCTCGAGGTCCTACGGAGCGAAAGCTCTTTCTACAATCAAAAAAGCGACGAGCAGCAGCAGCAGCAGTAGAGTGGTAGTAGCAACAGTAGCAGCCCGTTCTCGTTCTGGTCCACCGCATTCTGGACCCGCTGGTCTCGTACGCGAACAAACCTCAGGTCGAGGGAACTCTCTTTTGCGACGTTCAAGTCAATGACGCACACCCTGTGAAGGGCGGGTGGCAGATCCAGCAGGATAGAGACACGACGTGTGGATACAGATCATATGCGTTATATCCGTTACAACACAGGACTTGTTATCTGACAAATCAGAGACTTCCTCTCACCTAACGTTTGCTACAGTGTCGAACCGAGGGAAACGCTTGCTTTCTTCCGCCTTGAGTATAGCTGAAACTAGACCCGCCAGGTCACGATCATCTAGTGCGCACAGTCGATGCAGTCAGTGAACGTTGCGGGCATCACCTCGACTGACTGCCCGCAAAAACGAATTGACAAATCACCGATTCGACCATCATTCTGCGCGTCTTGTCGGTTTCTCGTCTTCCATTCCTCAAGCACGCAGTTGGTTGTTGGCACTCTCTGGCCCCTTGCTCAGTTGCTTGGTTGCCCCAGCTGGTGGTCGTTTCTGCGACACCTGGTGGCGTGAGTCTTGTGGTCCGCCCTTTTCATCCTGCCAAATCAGAGTCTGGGTGCCATGGGTACAGAACCGGTGCCAAGGTGACACGAAGGTTGACCAGTCGACAAATGTTGCGCCAAGCCATCGTCGTGCACTCGTCTCTGCGACGTGAGTCCAGTGTCGCCCGCCTCTCCTTCTGCCGCGCCTCTGGCTCGCTCGGTCGTTCACCCTGTCGCTGGCCAGCAGCACAACGCATCGGCCGTCGTCCGGCAGCAGCAGCAGCAGCAGCAGCTCGAGCGACACTCGCACCACCGTCGGCGCGTAGTACTCCCCTGTCTCTGATCGTCCACCTACAAAGACCGTAGTCGACATGAGTAATGTCGCTCGAAGACAGCGCGACCAGCGCACGGGCAGCGAGACGGAAATCGAGTGCGACGAGCTGCAGTTCCTGACGGAAGAGGAGGAGGAGAGCGGTCGCGCGGGATGGCGGCGGCTGCTCAAGACGTTCCCGGCCCAGCCGACGCTGGCGCCCGTGGCCCCGACGTTTTCGCTGGACGATTTGGCGCAGAAGAAAGAGCCGTCGGGAGTGGACGAGCAGACAGCAGCAGCAGCAGCTTCGTCGACGCTCGCGGGTCATGTCATGTGGAAACTGGCTGTGCGCATGTCGTCGCGCAACGAGAACCGCTTGCTGCAGCACATTACGCGCTCGATCTTCAGTCATGGCTCGACCAAGGTGTGCTATTGTGATGTTGTGATAGTGCGTAGCATTGCTGTATTGCATGCTATTGCTCGACTGCATGGGTTTGCTAGATTGTAGTTACCTTTGTATGGTTGTGGTTGGAGACTTACTGGATGGTGGTGGTTTACTTGTAGCACGATGATCGGTTCCAGCTGGACTGCGAGCGGGGAGACAGTAGTACGAGTACGCAGTCCAACTCGGGGAAGAAAGGGAGGAGTGTTGAGCCAGGACATCGGGAGAGTGAGGACAAGGCGAGTCATGTGAGACGTGGACAAGTGATGGATCCAGATGCTGTTGCATGCTCCGAGACAAGACAAGCTGTTTCGTCAGGAGCAACAGCTGCGGCTATGGCTGGTGCTGCCTCTGCTTCGTCGGCTTCTGGTGCTGGTATTTTGCCGCCGATGCCGCCGCTGGTCTTTTCGCCGTCCAAAGGCAGAGTGCACAAACGAGCACGCGCCATGACGTTGGAACAGTACACAAAGTGGAACTACACGGGATTGCGTCCGGGATTTTCGGTGAGAGTAGTGCGCTGCGAGGCGGCGGGCTCGATGCCACCTGTCACGGAATATGTGCTTCATGTCGTGGACCTTCACACGCGTGTGTTTTGGATCACGAAGAAGCGCTTTAGTGACTTTTACTTTCTCCGGCGTAAGATCCGGGCAATGATTCGGCGTGCTCCGGAAGCTGACGATGAGGAAAGAGACTATTTGCGCTTTTTGCTGGACTTGCCGTTCCCACGTCGGCGATTTCGACCAGCAGGCGCTGCAGCCGTCGCCCGTGGCATGGGCGAGATTGAGGTCTTTTTGAGAAACGTAGCAGCTCTGGAGCCGCAGTCTTGTCTCCAGCGCAGTATATTAATGGAGTTCCAGCTTGAAATGTGCTCGGCGGAATTTGTGTCGTCTTTGGAAAAGATCGACACGACGGGCGAGCCGGTGGAGCCTAAATGGCTGGCGTATGATCTTTTTCGACGCCTGAATTGTGACGGTACTATTGAGGGCAGTACGTGCTATCGTTTTTTGCATGTATTCCGGAAACGTGTGGCAACGATTGAAACGGCAGTGTGTTCGGAATGCAACAAAGTGGAAGGGGCTGTACTTGCGGCGTCAGCAGTCAAAGACTTGCGCAACACGGTGACGAGCATTGAGAAGTACATTTCAGAGAATCTGGATCCACAGTACGCAGACACGCTGTCACTGCTGGACCACAGTGTTGATGTGTCGTCTGTTTTGGACGACTGTGTGTACCACGCAGTAGAAGACTCTGTCTTGGTGCCGCTCGAGAACCAGGTAGATTTTCTTGTGGGCGAGACCGTCGATAAGGATGTCGAGCGGCGTTTGGCATTCAACATTGAGCGCTTGAGGTGTCGGTCACAGATTGATAGTGGAATTCCGGAGCACTTGCAGTCTGACGAAGACTGGGGACTCTCATGCCACCACCTGAGCATGATTGATGAACGGACGTTACCTACAGACAAGATCCAGGAGCTCCTTCGTTCTGCACTGGAGATTTTCAAGAGTTGTGGAGAAAAGAATTTGGAGTGGCATGACAATTCGGCGCTGACTGCAGACGAGTACCTCCCTATCCACATTTATGTAGTGGTAAAGAGCGGATTGAAGCGACCGCTGGCTACGAAGGAGCTGCTGGGCTCTATGATCCACCCGTCTCTGATGCTGGGCGAAGTGGGCTACTTCCTTACAATGTTTGAGGTTGCGCTCAAGTACATTGCCGACATGTGAATCAAGACACCCAGCGGCTTCCCGGCCAACTTTGCGCGATCGATCGATCGATCGCCGCATGTTTTCATTTTACGTCAAGTTAGTGAACAAGTACAATAGGAATTGATGAGTATCCGATGCGACAAGTATTCGCGTCGGCAAGAAGCAGCAGGCAAGATACTCTGCACGTTAAGCGTAAGCACTTTAAAATGACACGAACGTGTACCATAGAGCTCGACGATGCCTGTTGTTGGTTTTTACTGTCAAACATAATACTACCAGGTCCCTTCTCCGCAGTTCGACGGTACACTGTACCGCTTCAGCCTCCATCTGCCTTCATCGACAATGTTCCAGCGGCTCTTGAGGCGCCACCGCCCACTGCTTCGCTCCTTCTCTACCCGTCAGCAGCGCATTTCGGGTGGTCGTCAGTTGCTTGTCGAAGCCATGAGAGAAGACGCCGCGTATGTCGCAACAGCTGGAGCGTCCCGACTCTTTTCGGAAGGTCGAGGAGCTCTTGACAAGTCCTTTTTTTGTGCCGATTGCTAAAGTATCCAAAGTATGATTAAAAAAGTCGGATCTTTTTTCTGGTGTTGTGATTTTATTATTTCTTGCAGTGCTCCAGCCAAGTCGACGGCAACAAGACAGTACGAAGTGGCAACAAGCGCAGGAGCTGATGTCGTGGACGGACTTTTTTGCACTGTTTGATCCTGAAAAGCCTTGGCGGGACGATCCGAGAGCTCTGCGACTGCTGTCGTCGGCTTATTCCTATGTTTTGACACTAGGCAAGTGTCTGCCTGAGATAATAATCATCGACGATGGAACGGCTGACTGTCGAGAGAAAAGAGTGGAGATCCATGTGATTGGAGCACGGGCGGAAGCTATGATGCCGCGGTATTTGTGGGACGAACTGATTTTCTTTGATCCTGGTCGAGTGTTCAACATCAAGCTAGTGGGCGATCATGTGCCAGTGATGTCAGCACGGAAGAAAAAGTTGATAGAGAACGAGAGGAAGAACGAGCGTGTGCAGTTGGAAATGGTCAATGGACTGTATCATGAGCTCGAGTCAGGATTGCTGGGTACGCCTGATGCATTTGTGCTGTACAATCCGGGCATCGGACACCCTCAATTGCGTCAACGGTGGAAGCCAACTCTCGAGATAGTGCTGACTTCGTGCAAGCCAGTGTTGATCACGTCATTTAGTCTCGAGGACCAGCAGCGCGACATTGCTGCGTTGCACGAGTTGGTAGCGACTAGTCCGGTGCTAAAACAACATGAAGTACAATATCGATGCCGAGCGAAAGAGAACCCATTCCGCAGCTTGAAGCACCAAATTGATCCTGCAAATGTCGGCGCACCGATCCAGACAAATAATCGCGTCATGGTGGTGCAGCTCGTTCACACTAGCAAGGAGAATCGCCGATACTATAAGAGATGGTAAGAGTAGAGAAAGAGATGCATCTTCCACTTTCTTCTCTCATGCAGCAAGGGGAAGGAGACAGCACTAAAATGAGTCAAGGTGAAGTCATCAGGTATGTTCAACGTATGTACACTGTGCTTGCGCAAGGTTGCTCACTCACTCACTCGCTCACTCGTGACCACAACAACAACGACAAACACCCACGCACACACATGCAGCCATTCATCCACCCGTCCCTCTCTCCTCCAGCTGCAGCTTAGATGAGTTTCTTGCTCTTGAAGAACCGTTTGAGGTACAAGACCTGCCACACGCCCATGCCCAAGAGCACGAGAATGGACAGGAAGCTAAACCAGAGCACGCGCGCGTTCGTCGACTCGTTCGTGTTGCGCATCGCAGCTTCGCGTTCGCGCAGGTAGAGCATTTCCCGATGGATCTCCTCCACTGCATCTTCCATCTTGCGGAGCTCCTTCTCCACGGGCATGAGGTGCTCGCGCTTGGCCACTTCCGAGTAATCTTTGGCTTCGACGCCGTGTTTCAGCTCGAGCAAGACGCGCACGGCCTTGTCGCTCTGGTAATTGCCGAAACACACGGCGTAGTTGCCACTCGCCCCCGCCGTGAACGAGAACTTGTGCACGTCGTCGCCCGACGTGTCGATGTTCGCGTCTTGCTTGAGGAATTTGCGCTGCGGGTCCGTGATGGTGAGCGAGACGCCGGAGGAGCCGCGGACGTCGCCCAGCACGTTGTAGTGCACGACCACGAGACTGCCGTGCGCGATCTCGTCGCTGAGACACTTCTCGGCACGACGGCGGACGTCGAATTGCACGGCGTGCGACGACGCGGCGCACAGGAGCGGCACAAGGACGAGCGCCGCGAGCATGAGGATGGATAAGGGGGTACGGCTGAGGGGATTGGGATGTCTGTCTGAATCGATGTATGGTGGGGTACAGGATGGGCGATGGTGTGGTGTACATGAGCTGGAATGCGTTATGAGAGTGCATGGGGGGGGGTGATTTGACTTCGGGTTTTATTGGGATGGTAGTTTTTGGGTTATATTGTGCGTTTTTTTCCGCTCTGGAGGTTGAGAGGATGAACGACTTGAGACGCGATTCGCGAGGCGGGCCGGATCGAGTACGCGCTTTGTTTGCCTTTTGTCGTTTGGATGAACGGATGCAAGAGTGAGTCGATAGGTTGGATTGAGACGTCGTCGTGTGGTTGCTGTTTTGATGATGGCAGGAGTGGTTCCAGAAAGAGAAGAAGCGCATGGAAGATGAGATTCGAGAGGTGGCGTTTGGATTGATGATTGACAGGCGATACAACGATCGACCAAGCCCATTCATTCAAGTGGTTCTAACATGGCTCCTTGTTGGATGTTTTTGGCTCTTTGTTGAGTGTTTTAATTTGCTGCAGGAGATGCAAGAAGCCGTGTCGAACGTGTACATTTTGAACCAAAACATTGAGCATCTCAATGACGTGGTGCGTGAGCAGGTAGGTACCTGCATATTCGAGTGGATCTGCAGCTCACTGCACTTCATTTGCCGATGCTGGGCTAGGGTCAAGAAGTGGTGGCCATTTCATCCGTGTGGGTGACCTTTCTACGTCGGACAGCGGCGTCTGCTAGCGGTCCAGCACGCTAACTCGGTCCGTCATAATGACATCAAGAGCCTTTTGGAGGAACAACAATGTCATGTACCAGTCAACATTTCGTGGCGAGCAGTGTAATGGGCCTGTCACACAGGAGTCTGCTGTTGTTGCTGTTGCTGCAACTTGGCCTTTTCTCGCAATGCAGCGAGGACCGACTTTTCAAACGCTAGGTGTTCATGCAGTGAGATTGGCCCTCCTGGTAGCATCGGCACGTTGCATCCCGAAGTTGTTGCTGGCTGATCTTCGGTAGACGTAAACCCATCTGTCTCGACAATATGACCTTGGATTGACACTTCCCGCCAGCAGCTTTTGTGCGCTTCGACCCGGACAGCTTTGGCAGCCGAAGCCGCTTCACTGAACTCAACTTTTGCTGAGGACGTTTTCAGCCTGATAGCCTTGATCTCACCATACGACCGGAGCTCTCGACTGAGCGTGTCGTCCGAGTGGGAACACCGCTTTTTATCCCACTTGAACGTCACAGTACGCTGGGACTTCGGCGCGCCTGAAACTTCCTGACTCTGTCTTCGCTCAGACTGCCGTTTGGCTTCCCGTGCTAGACGATCCTGCAAGTCTCGTTGGCGTGCCAGAGCCTTCTCCCGAAGTCTCGTCAGCTCTGTCTTTTGTTGTGTCACACTGGGCTTCCTAGTGCGCTCATACTTCTGCTCCTTCCTCAAGAGCTCTATAATCAGCCAGCAAAACAAGCACAATCAGAACCTCAGCATCAATCGAGACTTGTCATTGAAAAAGCAGCTCCAGCAGCTTCGAAAGCTTCGAAAATCACGCACCATCTCGCATTTGCCGGCGCTTGCCATCGAGCTCTGCCTCTCGTTCCCGCTGCTGCTTCTTGGCCAGTAGTTCGTGCGACAATTTCTTGTCATAGGCCTCTTTTTTCTTCGGGTCCAACAAAATATCACGAGCGCGGGTCAACTCGAGAAATTTCGTCACTATAGTACCACACGAACAACAACAATCACAATAGAAACAGCACAAAAAACACGGGGAAATTAGAAATGGTCCTATCATAATAAAGAATCCGATCTTCAGCGTTCTTCACATACCGTCTCCGCCACGGTCAGGATGATGCAAAATGGACTTTCTCTTGTAAGCTCGAGCGACTTGGCGCTCGTCGGACGCGGGCTCGAGCCCCAGGATCTCGTACAGGTCTTCACGAATCTCGTCCATTCTGATCGTCATGAGTCATTCAGAAGTAGTACTTTCAAATTTGACAAGAACGATTCAACCACTTGGACGACGACGACGACGAGCAGAGGGAGGAGGAGCGTGTGATGTGATTGGTTAAAAGAGTCTACATGCTCTCGAATAACAACCCCGCAGCCATTTCGACGTTGCCACTGCAAGTCTGCAAAGCTTGAAGTGCCTTAGTAAAATCGAATCAGCACACGTCACAGATGTTAGCAACAAAGCCATCTACGCACATAAGCTCGGAGGAGGATGTCGTACCTGCTGCATTGGAAAGCCCAGTGCCACCAGTTGGTCGATCTTTGCTTGGTCGGTTTGGTCACCACGCGGGAGCACTGGAGGAGCAACGCCTTGTGCAGAAGTCGGGACACGACTTGGAGCTGAAGGTGGAATCGGGATATTGCCAACGGGGGCAGGAGGTTGCGCGAAATCCGCACGCTTTTCCGACGACGGGATTTCCTGCATCAATAGCAGCACCAACAGATTAGATTATGAGGCTGTGGACACCAGTAGCAATTATAATGATACAGAACAAGTGGACGTTACGTACGTGTTCGGGCAAAAAAGGAACTTCGTGGAAGCGGTCGCTTTCGTGGAGACGCAGCACGTTCTTGCCTAAATCAATGCAACACTGGATCAAGAACGTGGAAGAAAGAAAGGCACGGCTGAGACAGCTGCTGAGTCGGAGATACAACCATATGCATGCAATGGCCGTACGACAAGTGTCGATTGAACGTTTTTGACCGATGTCGTACTGCCATTGCGGGCATGCATATGCGGGAATGCTGTTTCGAACCTGATGGCGCTTGAGCATGTCGAGTCCGAACAGAAAGTCAACGCCCTGCTGGTCCAGAATCGTGAAGCTGCAGTTGTAAAACTCGTCGCCAATGTTCAGTGCGGCCATGTGAACTTTGCCGATGATCGTGGCCGTGCCGACACCCACAGCCTGCACAAGCGAAGAATTGGCCGTTAGGTCTGCACACTTTCTCACCTTCTTTATGATCACGAATGCATGGATGGTGCCTTCTGTACCTGGCCAGCGAAACGCTTGTCGACGAGACGCATGATCCCACATCGTTCGGCACAACTCTAGGCAGAACAGCCATCCCGCATCATGTCAGGTCGTTATATCGTCATGAGTATCATCGTTGAACATACCGACGACATGATAGTCGACTGTGCTCCGGAATCGACAAACGCCTTCACTTGCGTCCCGTTCACTGTGCAAGGAATGTACAGCATAGTGACACGCGCGAACGCCTCGGGCATCTCCTCGATCGCAATCTCCATATTCTTCTGAACATTCGATAAACGAATACGCTCGGCGATTTTCGCTTGGGCATCAGCGTCGAACGGATTTAGATCCAAGGCCGTGATCTCCTGTTGTTCCTCGAACGTTCGCGACGCAGCCGCCATGTGTATCTGCATCAACGCCATGCGTACTTCCTGCAGGAATAACGTCAACTCCAGTCGAAGATTACGATCGTTGCTGCAATACCACGTACCGACACGCTCTTGGTCTGAAGTGCTGTCACCAACTTAGGGTTTGTCTGCTGCAACTAAGTGAAAAAATGAATAGCACGACGGTCGGTTCGTACACCATCTGCAGCACAGCAAAAACGTCCACTCTTTTCGATTACCTCGGCTAGAAGATGTGGGTTCTCGTCCATAATGTCAAGAAGAACTTCCGGTGAAGCGTTTCCCTAGTCGACATTGCAATGAGCATCTTTGACTCCGTTCACACAGCAGAACAGGATAGTGTACCGGAATCTCGTGCAACTTCATGCCTGGACGAGCCGCAAAGCTTGGTGCAACAGCAGGAGCCGATGCAGACGAGGGAGTGTGCATAATCACCAGAAGATCGTTATTTTTCACCCCTGCCTGCTCAAACTAATGCACGCAGCCCAAATAAAATACCGCAAGTGAGTGAGTGAATAATCAGCAAACGGTTCATCACGTGATTACGTTACCGTCTGCTCCCCACGTAGCGGTTGGCCATTCAGCAAAAGCACTTGCCTCGCTGCAGGGATGTCAAACTTTATATAGGGAGTACAGATCCAAGATTTGTCAAAGTTGTCACGTGAGTGTGATGAAAAGTATCAAAATAAACGACAAAGAGAACCGAGGAAACACCTGATGCTGAAGCTGTGGCGCCACCGAGCTGAGACTTTTCGTGGACTCGACGCTGATCTGAGCGACTTGGTCTCCATCTGCTGATGTCACGGTCACCTGCATGGAAGGAACTCTCGGATATGTCGTGCCCGATGTTTTGCAGCTTGGAATACTGCGTCAAGGTGGCAAAAGTCACGTGGATTATTCGTATCGGAGACCTGCTTCTATTGCAATATTTACAACTCGATCGGTACGTAGTAGTAATAGTAGTAGTAGTTGTCGTAGTGATACTCCTGATAAAGTAGTAGTAGTAGTAGTAGTAGTAGAAAACTATAGTAGTATGAGTAAATATAGCATTCCTAGACGTAGCCGCCGAGTCAGCCGTGTAAATACCACGTACTCCAATGCAGTGACGACGCCGATTGTCGTCGTACTTGTCCCCATGACGACTACAACCGCTAGCACGTGGTGTTACTTTTCTCACGACGTTCAATTCTTCTTCTTCTTTTTTGCTGCCACTTCGACGAGGATGTCGACAAGTGGTACCGTCGACTTCTACGACTAAAATACTCCCAACCATTTCAGGTCGTCGCCGCTGGCCGTGAGATGATCCATTCCGCCATTCAACTATTTCAATGATCCATCCATCCATCAGAGTCATGAGGTGTCGACGAGGTCGGTCCGTTGCCCCACTTGGTCATTTCTTCACTTGTCGAGCGAAACCTTTGAGCGCCAGCAAGCACGAGCGTAAACAATCCAGCATCAGTGCACGATCCCATTGAGAAAATGACCGCTACGACGTCGACACTCCGGTGGACAACCCTCGAGACGTCCATGCAAATGCAGTCGTGTCACTTGTTCTGGTACTTTCTTCATGCAAAAAGAAAACAAGAAAAAACCACCTTCCTCAATCGCACCATCCCCTCTCCTCTCCCTTCATAGCCACCATGTCAGTAGCTTCGTTCTTATGTACCCGGTCATGTCTTTGTTGTTGTTGTTCTTGGTGGTGGTGGTGGCTGTGTGTGTCCTTGCATAGGCACAAGGTGACGTTGAAGATCATCCTCAAGCGGGAGTTGATCGACTGTGCGCCAAGTCGAGAAGTGCCGATGCTGTCCATTCACCGGTCTCGACGGTTCGGTGGTGACGTTGAGATCGAGCTGGGGGGAGGCGTCCATCCCGTCCGGATGCTCCCCGTTTCAGGCAAAGACGTGCGGAAGCTGCGCTTTGGTCTCGTGCACGGCCCTCGACGCAAACGCATTCGACTCTGTGCCCCTAACGTCGCAACGTACGACCGCTGGGAGATGCTGCTATCAGTGGCTGTTGCAAAGGCAGCAGCCGAGCGCCCGACGTTCCCTTTGTGGCCGTACCCGGGACCATCACCGAGCTTGTCAGCTCTAGAAGCGAGCTGTTTCTCGGACGACTTTGGCTTCAGTGACAATGACAGCACGGACGTGAATAAAGGCGGGGACGGTCGACACCATCGACTGCTACATGTCACGCAGAGGACTCCAAGTCGCAGCAGCAGCAGTAGCAGTAGCAGCCAGTGGTAGCCGTCGTTTTGTCGACCGCTTGCTTGTCTCCTCCCAGAGACGAAAGGCAGGACGTCTCTGCATAGCAAAACCAAGTCCCACTCGTGCACTCCGATCCGACGCGTGAATCTCTCGCGTGCCAACCGTCGCAGGACTCGCTTTCAAGAGCCGCTTCCGACCAAGAGAGAGGATACGACAAGTGATGGAGCGGGTGACAACCATGGATGAAGACACGCCCTTGTTACGGGAAGGATCGTCCCTTGGAAGCCCAGCTGGAGCTCTGAGTCCATCGGTTGCCAGTGAGAGCGTGAGCACTGCCCGTGACAGTCTACACACGACAGAACTCGAGCTGAATGTGGACAAGATCTCGTTCCTCTGTAGCCCCTCGATCCGTCCGACGTACGGCAGTGGAGGCGAGTATAACCATTACGCTGAACAGCCACTTCAAGAGATGCTGCAGACGAACGACGAGCTCAATATGCTGGAGCCGTACTTTGACGTGACGCCGTCGCGACTGCGCGTGGCTTTCGAAGGTTCAGGAACCGAAGGCGATGGCGAATTGAGCTACGACGGATTCCGAGCAGCTCTCAAGACGTTGGGGATCCGATGCTTGGACAACGCCGTGTTCGCCCAGCTGGTCAAGAGCATTGACAAGGAAAGTCGCGGCCGGATCACGCTCACGCAGTTTGACGCGGCAGTGCATCGCTTGAAGCTCATGCACATGTTTGACGAAGGCACGGTGCCCGAAGTCAAGACGATGGAGGGGCAGCATGAAGCTGCCTTGTCGGTGTCGGACTTTTCAAGCACGCGATTGCAGAGCTTCGTCTTGCGGCAAAAGAACTTGCACGAGTTCTTTACAGCCCATCGACCCGAGTGGGTGAACGTGCGCTGGATCAACTTGAAAGGCCGCGATAGCTTGAACCTCAAGCGACTGGCGATCAAGTACCGACTACATCCGCTCGCGATTGAAGACACGATTGAAGGCCACGAACGACCCAAGTTTGATCGCTACGATGGCCACTTGTTCATTGTGTTTCCAGTGCTGGGAATGCGTGTGACGCCGGACAAAGGACCTTCGCTTGAACGCAGGCGTAGTCGTCTGTGCTCGGATTCGTGCGGAACGCCATTGCCGTCTTTTGTCAAGGAGAAGCGAGGATCGCTTTACCGCATCATGAGTATGGCTCCTGTCGAAACGGAGGAGGAGGAGGAGAACCCATTGAAGCTCTGTGTCGAGCACGTGTTTGTCTTCATCATCAACAACGACACAGTCATTACGGTCAAGAACGAGGGTGGCAGTGATATCTGGGCCGAGCTCAATCGCCGACTCGCCGTGCCATACTCAAAGCTACGACACAACAACGCCAACTTTCTCGTGTACTCGGTGCTCGATGTAATCGTGGACCAAGTGACAAGCGTCGTTGACTCGATCACGGAATGCCTCATCGAGCTCGAGAATCAGCTTAATCAACAGCGTCACCGCTTTGAGCTACGGTCGTTGCGGCTGCTAAAAAACGAGCTGTTTGGGCTTCCTCGCTTCCTCAAGCCAGCTCGGGAGGTGCTGAAAAGCATCATCGAAAGCAAAGACTTTGACGCGACGGTGACTGCCTACGTCCGCGACGTCCACGATCATGTGGTTCAGGTGCTTGACGATATTGAACAGCAGCTTCAGATGTGCCGCCAGCTCACGGAAGACTACCGTGATGCCAAGACCACCCAGATGAACTACGTTATCTACACACTGACCGTAGTCACGACGGTGTTTCTGCCTGGACAATTTCTCACGGGGGTCTATGGCATGAACTTCGATGACATGCCGGAGCTTCACGAACGTTATGGCTATGCACTTTTCTGGATCCTCGCCATTGCCATTGCTGCCGCATTGCAGTTTTATTTCCGCTATAAACAATGGATATAGTGAACGAGACAAGCGAGCGAAGACGAACCGTGTGACGAGAGGTGGAAACAGGATGTAGATGGCAAAAAAGTGACATTCTTGCACGGAATCCACATTCATTTGCTCTCGAGCGCGAGCAGCTTCTGCAAGAACTCCCTCTTCTCAGGAGACTCACGGAATAGAGATCTACATGTTGAAGAAATAAATCGATATCGTCGAAAATGAGGAAGGAGGTCCTGACTGTTATAGCAGCAACGCGTGACACGCACTAGGTGCACTCAAGGCACGTACCTCACGAGACTAGCCAACTCCTTTGGAGAAAACGCGTCCAGAAAACCACTGTCAAGTTTATCACGAACTGTTGCGAGTGGGTCCATCTGAAAACAGTACATTGCAACATCAGCTACTTACACATCCACGACGCGTGAATGATAAAACCAAGCACACACGTCGTACCAATATCGCTGCGAGCTCTGACAACCTGTTTAAACTAGGTGCAAACTTCACAGCTTGAGCCGGCGACGTAAACAGCGCTTCAGACTGTATAGTAGTAGCACCAGAGTTAGATAGTCCTTTTGATCGACAGCAGGTATGCTGGACAAACATCGCACCTCTAGAAGCAATGACAAGAGGCGGTAGACGTGAGCTCCAGTCTTGTCGGAAATAGTCTAAAGAGAATGCAATCGTACATGAAAAGTAGTAAGCAGGGTAGCTAGAAGCCATACGTAAGTAAGAAGAACACTAACCGTTTGAGTGAGCACGTCGTCCACAAAATGTTGTACGAGCGGCTCGAGCATACGTGACATGGTTTTGACATAAATCCTCACGGGTAACCCCTCGCGCCACAAGCAGCTCATTTCCTTCAACTTGTCGAGCGCATTCTTGAGAAAGTGTGTCACCCGTTCCACATCGAACTCTGACTCAAGAGTGCCAAGCGACTGCAACAATTGACAAGTTGGTCCAAGTATTCATTCAGTAAAGGTTGCTGAGCTGGGTGTCGTACCGGTAAATGTTTCACCCCAGACATGACCTCGTTCATTTGAGATGACGTGTACGCGATCAACGCTTGTTCGCCGTCTTCTTGGAAAGAAGAGAGCATATCTACCATTGTAGCAGTTCGATCTAGCGGTGCTGGGAGCCTACAAGAATGCAAGAAAGTTAGCAACGACCTCAGCACTGCAACAGGTTCGTCTTACGTACCGATGCTTGTAACGGCATTCAACGATCAACATGTGGTACGAGACATAAAGGCAGTCGTTGTGATACAACATGCAAGTTCGGGGGTCGTTTGCAATATCATCGCCGTATAACGTAGGCACGATGGTTCGGAACAGGAAGAACAAGTCTCGAGCTGTCTGGTAGAAAACTTTTGCACACGCACTCGCATCAGCAGAAGTACATGCCTCATGAAGGGTCCGGTGCACCAACTCTACCACCTCGTGAGCGCAGACACTCACACGGCATTCAGGAACCTGAAAACATCGGCTTTCAAGCGCCATTGGGCTCACTGTAGCATCGTTTTCTACACCACTCTTGTCGTTCTTGCCACACTGTATAGATGCACTGAAGCTCTCTTTCTCGAAGTCCTCCGTGATCATAACTGAATCGTGATATGCTTGACTAATCAAGGTACGTCCGGAGCTCAAGATGACTTGACGGCGTTTTGTAGCGTGCAACCTGCAGAAGAAGCGCATCAGAACATCAGCAAGAAGTAGACTATCAAGCAAAGCAATCTAGATACAACATACTGGTTCAGCTCATCGACGAAACCTCGTAGCTGGCTATTGTTGCAAGCCGAAAAACCAATGGCTGTCAAGTTGTCTTCCAAGCTCACAACCTACCAATGGTGATAGCACGCTACCAATCAGACCACGATAAAGACCACGAAAATGAGTGCTGCATACTCACAGTATCCGCCAAAACTTTGCGGTACGCGTCTAGCGCGGTAGCATCGTGAGGGATTTCATCTTGCAGCATATTCATGAGCTGAGCCTCAAGATTGCCCGGAATTTTCCACACAAAGTCTTCAAACCGATGTATCATCCCGACGGTGCCCGCAAAGAGCTCTTCGTGGAGAAAATGAAGCACCATGACAACGCTGGCGCACTTTCCTTGTACATCTACAATCCCGCTCTCTACCAATGCATCGTCGACATTTACATCCAGTGCCACAACTTCCAGTGTCGCACCACTTTCATCCTGTCCCCGCCTTGTTCTTCCTCGAGACGTCTGCAACATTGGTTTAATCAGATGGCGGGACACATCTTTTGCAATGTCCTGCAACCTCGGTGCCAGGATATCCAGCACTTCGCACGCTTCCCAGTAATCCCTTCGTCGTTCCTCAACTGTCCTTCGCGTCATTCCTTTGCCCGAAAACTCGGTAGTCACTCGTAGCGCTCTATCGTGCCACACCGCCATCCGGCTAAAGAAATTCGCCAGCCGATCCAGCAGTCTCTCTTTCTGACCTAGCACCTGCTGCTTCACAGCTCGGACAAGTTTGCAATCACCGCTCTCACTATCTTCGCTCGAATTTGTCTCCACCCATTCCTGAACCATCCTCTCCACTTCTACCATTCCACCTGCTGCTACAGCAAACTGCTCATGGTCAATCGCAACATCCACGTCTCCAAGTCGTTGATCAATCTCCAGGAGCTGCTCAACCAAAGCCAACATGGTTTTCGATTCCTGCGCCTGCTTCTCCAGACGTTCACGACGCATCCAAGACACCAGTAAGTGCGCTTCGGGAGCCATGTCACTGTTCTCGTCCAGTTGCAAACGATCTACAGCACTCAGCAGAGCGGCGTTCAGCTGACGCACTTTTGTCGGTATGACCGAATGTTCCGTGACGTCCCTTTCACCAGGAAACCCGTCCGACGCATCCGTACTCCATGTAACCGCCATCTTGACAGCTTCATCCATCGACAGCATCGTACAGGACGACGAGTAGAAAGTGTGCAAGGCCTCGAGCATTTCGTCACGCACTTGGACAATCTCTTCCTGGGTTTCGTCAAGCTTCCTATTGACAGAACGCAGAGGAAGAATGAGTTTGTGTTAGTAGGCTGGCTAGCCAACTAGTTCTGTATCGATAGAGAGGTACACAGGTCTATCGCTAGAGTACCTACGTTAAGAGAGATGGCATGATGAGATGACGAGGGATATCTCGAGACGAGTTAGGTTAAAAAGTCCTGGGCCTTGTCTCTTTTGTACAGCTCTCTTTCTACAACTGCCTGACGTTTGGTAGCCTGGACCATGACTGATGTGTCGTACATTATCGACTGTGGGCGATGCGCTACTGAAGTTTCGTTAACGGGTTTTTGTGTTCGACGGTGAATTCAGCATCGGCGGTTAAGCATGCCATATCTGTAAACTTGTCAGTGATTTAATTACCAGATGGACGCCAGTGAAGACCGCGAGAAAGCGATGAGTTCGTCTACTAACAAGGTTGTTCAAGAATAGTGGTGCAGCATCTGCCCTCGACTCCGTGCAATAAATTCAGCTGATAGGCTGAGGCTTCGTGCCTATCTTGATCTCAACACCAGTTGTACAGCGTCGGTGTTTTCAATCGGTGCTTATCCAGCATTGACTCGTGACTCGTTCGTCGCTTTGCTCCACGACAAGTTGTACAAGCTCCTCGCTTCTTGCCGAAATCGTGCACATCGTCTGCAAGACCATGATCCTCAACAAGCGCTACACCCTTGAAGTCGTCGAGACCGAGTCGGGCATGCCACTTTGCCTCCGTACCGTTCAAATGTGCTGCAATGCTCGCGATCGCATAGTCCGCATCAAGCTTGTCAAGGTAGCAAAGACTGTTGCCCCAGGTCGTGCAGCCATCCATAAGCGTGCAGCTCTTCCTGATCAGTTTCCACAGCGATCGCACCTTGCGTTGCATTCTTATCGTGATTAACTCCTTCACAACTTGTCCGATGGATAACGGGTTCGTGACCTAAAGTGAAGCCCTCTTGTCTCAAGCTGTCAGCGCAAACAATAGCAACGTTAAACTTACCTGATTTGTGAAGCCGATAAGCCCGAGCGCAGGTAATATGTCACGAACTGCTGCTGTGCGTCAGCAGTAGAATCAGTGACCAAGCACGTTACGACAACGGCATGACTGTCCAGGGACCGTTCAATGACGGATCTTGACTGGATCTTGCTAGCTCATTCGCCTGCGAACATCACTGAATATAATCTCGTACCGACGGTGTGGTTTGCCTGGAATACACCGACACGCATCAATTCGATCACAACATATAAGACCGACGCCAACTTACCAACTTCATCAGCCACACCCACGTTGTATGCCGCTTCGACAAGTAGACTCGGGTAGAGTTCGAACCCGGTCCGGGTTGGCATCGTCCTTCGATTCATCCAACTTGCCACAAGCGCAAAGCATCACAACCCAGCGCCAGATATTATATGGCAGCAAAAACACTAGATGCTGACAGGTAAGCTCGCTCAAATTCCATCTCATTTTCACATCTCAAATGCTCGCACGTGTGTCTGCGTGCTGCCTCGTGGACCTTACTCTTGATCATGCGCTACCCGTCCTCTCAAAAGCAGGCCAATCGCCATGCTGCCATCAAATGGCCCACTCGCTGCCTTCGTTCGCCTCGTCTTCCGGTGTGATGAAAGGCGTGTGAATCGACTTGATCATTACCTCACCGCAGAACATGCACTCGGACGCGATGATCTCGTCCAGCTTTTGCTGCACCATCTCACGCTCCTGCGCAATGGACTGCTCTTTCGCAGCACTTTTTGCCTTTGCGGTTGTCGCGGCGCTGCTTCCCTCGGAACCGGGCGTCATCGCTTCCTTCTCGCTCGACGACAAGTTGAGAAAAGGGAAGGCTGACAGCGGTCGCTGGAAAAAGTTCGTGCTCGCCGGCATTTCAGTGGAAAGCTCATTGAGTTTCTGAACAAGCTGCTTTACCGTTTGTCGCTGAAAACTATTCAGATGCTTTTGCATCTCTTGACGGAGTGCGCCAGCGTGAAAAGCGTGGGAGCACGGGAAAAGGTAGAATTCCTTACCCAGGATGTTCTGACCGGTGAGCTCACAGCGTTGGTTGCCGGACACGACAGCACAACGTTTGCGCAGTTGCTGCATGTCAGCACGAATCAATTCGGCCGACTGGGTGTAGTCTTGCATCTCTTCCTTCAGCTGTTCAATGCGGTCATTGTACACTTCGAGCGACTCGCAAATCTCCTTCTTGAAATCGTTGATCAGGACGAAGTCAGGGAAGAAAGGCAGGATGTCCTCAATCTTCAACAAATCACTCTCCTTCAAAATGTTCATGGCGTCCTTGATCTCACCTCCAGCGTCGATCGTATGTTTGGCAATCAGCGTCCACAGTTTCTTGCGAGTCTCATCATCCTCGGGCATGCCAGCCATTTCCTTGGCAATTTTCACATCGACTTGCAGTGCCTTTTCCACGGCGTCCTGGTATAGCCCCATCGCAGAGTAGATGTAAATGCAAGCACGGTTCTTTTCGTTCTGTGTGCAAAAGCGCAGAGCAAAGGCAATGTCAAACAGATGCTTGCCATTGTGCCTTTTGCGCAAGAAGCTAATGAGCAAGCGCTCGTCAGGGTGCTTGGCCAGCAGAAATAACAGGTAGTTGTGGATCGTCGGATCGCGGTTGCCCTGCTTGATGGCAAACTTCAGGAACCGAATGGCCATATCCAAAACGGAGCGACTTTTTGTTGTAGTGCTGGCCGATTCCGCGCCCGCATCGCTCTTCTGGTGCACATGACGCACAATTGACGGAATGAGACGCGTCGGGTTCAGTGTAGCGGCCTCCAGCCATGCCTCGTATACCTCCTTTGGCTTATGAATGATAAGCTCGGGTGAATACTTGTACCACAGCTCTTCCACTTTCGACGTTTCTACGCTACGAAGCAACTCGATTGCAGCTCCGTACTCGCCGCGGTCCACATGATACGTAATCACTTTTTCGTAATCTTCGATAAGAGTTGCGTAGAACACAAGCTCATCCGGTCGGCCGTGGCTAAGGATTAAATTGAAAGTCGTGGCCGGATCGAGATGACTCTTCTGATCTTGCAGGAATTGCTTGAACTCGAACAGCAAGTTAGCATGCGCATCAACATCTTGCACACTCCCCTTCAGCACATTGAACTTGTCCAGAAACAGTTCAACGATCCATGAACATAAGACAGTCTGCTGTGTCTTCTCGTCACTTCCCAAGCTTTTCAGCTTCTGCAGCAGGAATAACAGCAACGAGTCACGACTCTCGATTTCGAGAAACTTCAGCGCCACCTCTTCAAACGAACGCGTTGTCTTCGCGTACATAACAGCAGCACGATCAAACTTCCCCTTATCGAAGAGCTTGTCTGCTTGTGCTGTCAGCACGCGCTGACGTTCCCATCCATTGCGGCAGACAGCCAAGGCCTGCTCAAAATCGCGATCGTCACCGTTACCCATCACAGCCTTGCTCAAGAATAGCTTCCATACATCGCGGTCCTCGTCAGCAATAACTACCTCCAAGATACGACGGCTTGAGTGGATCCACACTGTGTTGAACGTGTCATCCACAACAATGCCGTGCACATTGCCTACTCGCGAGTCGAACGATTCTTCCATCACAACCACACCACTCAGCTTCGACACGACTTGAATATGGCGTGCGAACAGCAGAACCACGTGGTACTGGGTCACTGCCATCGAAACTGGCGGTGTCCATGATCCACGACCGTCCGAAGACTTCTCCGGTTTACTAGGGTACGCTAGCAATCCTGTGCCTGTCGTCACGTTTTCCATCGTGCTCGACAGTCCGAACACGAAATCTCCATGGTACACTCCCTCACCCGTTAGTACGCCAAAGCCTTTTGCGCGTTCACGGCTTTGTTTGACATAAAACCGCAATTCTGCTGTCGTCATGTCCCCCGGCATTTCCTGGAAACGTAGCTTATCCGGACTCGTGTACTCTTGGAACATGGCTTCAAAGCCACCTCGACCTCCGCTCATGAACTGAAACACACGCGTCGGTCTCTTTCCTGATGCCGACGTCGTGAGCATGACATAGTGTCGCTTCTCTCCTGATGGCAGATGCCAGTGCTCGAAAGCGATGCCAGCAATTGCTCCCTGGTTGGCAATCTGAAACACTTTGGTCACCGCTTTTTCCTTGCCTCCATCAAACGCTGCTTCAAACACTGCACCCGAGGTAGTTCCAATCAGTATAGGCTCCGACGCTTCTGGCGATCCAGACTGGCGGTCCCACGCTACGCTCGTAAACTGCATTCCTTGGGTCTTGAGAAGCTTCTTTGGACGCGTCGATCCCGTGTGCAAGTAAAAGTTGGAGCCATTTTCCATCGACACGAGCACGTGGGCTCCTGTGGGATCAATGAACACACTAGACATGGCTACACGTGGCTCAATCATGATTTCCTCGATCGTCCCGTTGCTGTCGGTGGCTTCCGTCGTACAGCGGAGAAGGACGCCCTCTTGAGAACCCATGGCCAGTACGCCATTGCCCACGCCCATGCAGATCAGCGTGAACCCCTTGCGACGGGAGATCTTAAGACCGTGCTCCCGAAGTTCAAACAGGGGCTTCTCCGGCTTCGTGAGCCTCGACGCGTCGTCGTCACCGACCGTCTCAAAGTCAAAGTCATCATTGTTGTTGCTGCTGCTGCGGCCGCCAGCAGGATTCCCGTCACTCGTCACAGCACCAGCCGCGTACAGAGCGCCGTCGTAGGCGCCTCCTCCAGAGCCCCCAGCGCCGCTTCGGACGTCAGGGACCGACGCTTCTTCCTTCTTCCAGTCTGCAAACAGATCCGCCGACATGTCGTGATGGTGCGTGCGTGGAGTGGGTGGGTGGGTACACTCTGCCGAAGCGAATATTGGCGAATGAGCTGTCAAAAGCCCTAGAGACGTATTTCGATTGGACAAAACGGATGTCCCGAGGACGACTTCGGACTTTGGAACCTCGCCCTGCCAGGCTGAGTGAGATCTGCACGTCTTCCTTGTTATCAGAAAGGCACTACTGAGTGTCGAGACTGTGCTGTCTGTAGGCACAAAATACCTGGATGTAGTAGTAAGTAATCATCAGACAGCTGAGAGTCGCGTGTGGTTCTCTGTGCTGTGCAGTGCAGACAGAGTGCACAAAAATCCGCTGCAGCAGCCTTTAGTCGATTTGCAGACATCCTCTTGACTAGATTATCTACGTTGCCACAATCAGATCCGTCGCGACGCCTGCGCAACGCCCCTGCTTGCGACTATCTTTCTCGTTAGACAGTCCGTCTACGTGCGATATACCGAAGCAAGGCAGAGAAGAAGAGACGCGAATGCCATGACTTTCACTTGTCCGCGAAACTGCGATTCGACTCGCTGGACGTCAACGTATACGTGCCAGTCATCCAGAAAGTGCATTAGCTGTATGCATCACTGCGTACGCAGATCTCTGATGCGTGAGTGCCACGAGGAGTCTTTCTACCTTTTCTCCTGCGTCGATGACTCAATTTGTCAGTGACACGCACGTCCGTTCTCCGAACTCACTGCAACAAACCAAACGAACCTGACAGCGCAGGGAAGTGCAGCTATTGCAGAATGCAAACGTACCTCGCATGCTGTATTCATCAGGCACGTGACTTGGGTCGAGTGGACTCATCAACCGACAATAATTGGTAGGAAGGTTTTGCTGCATCCATGTCACGACTACTAACGTGTACAAACAGTACAGCAGCCAGAAAATCAAAGCCCGGTGGTAGATGTGACCAGACTGGAATCCGCTGTAGATATGTACAACGTACCCTCAAAAGTAAGTCCTGTCGAGGCTACAGATCGGAGACACACTTTGTGGGTGAGGATAGACTTTTCGGATCGAAGCTAGATATGTCAGCGTAAGGACCATTGCTGCAGGAAGCTACTCCTAGCGCATCTTCGACAACAATCGAGCAACCTTGGCGATTGAGAACTGGGACGACTAATTCCCTAACGCAGGCGATACGAGTTGAGCCAACGAAACGACGCAAAAAGGTGAACCAACACATGCAAGAACGACAAAATGTATTTTGATTCTCCATAAATTGCAGTGCTTCTGTGTCGAGTTCGGCACCTCCATGTCAGTCGCATCTACTGACGCTGGCCATAATTGCATCTCCTTCTGGTTCAGCTGGCCTCTCTGCAAGAGTGCAAAGCGGCGGGTTCGGACGGCGGTCCAGCTGGTTGCAAGCGCGACGAATCGTTGCCGTATGGTTGTAGCCTTTTATCATCAGGTCATTCACGACATTGTTTTGCAAGATTTGGTACAAGGGTGTCCGAAACAGTAAACAAGGTAGGTGTTATACTGACCAGGAGCAGTAGCCTCCTCGCCAGTAGTAAACAAGTTATCGAGTCGCGAAGGTTACGGCCGTACACCGATGAACCGAAGGAGGAAATGCTACAGATTCCATTGCACGAAATCGAGATTTGCTTCACTGATATCATGAGCGAGGAAATCAGGGACGCAAACGCAGAGCGTGTATGGCAGGATACGGCTCGAATCAATGTACACAGCTCGAAATGAAGCTCGCAGTGACTTGTTGTTGTGCGTCTTCCACTGATAGACATGGAAGTCCGCTGCTGAGACTAGAGAGCGACGGCCAATCGAGGTAGATCATTCAGTCGTAACGTATGCATACCAGATTCATGCAGGTCATTCAGTTGTTCATCGCATCTCAGTCGGCACGCCGAAATTCAGGGGAACAAAGCAATGAGAAATTGATCAATCCGTACAACGACGATTACAGCTGTGTTAGATCCAAGCGATAGGTTTGCTTCCACCGCTAAGACGAAAACGCTGAAAGAGTGCACGCGACGCGGGTCTCTTGGCACCGAGACTGTAGACGGGTGAGCGAAAGCACGCGCTTGTCGAGTCTTGCGCAAGTTTTGAGTGGAAAGGTCATTCATTGTACAGTTCAATGTGTGCTGATTTTGACCATCACTTGTGTCCCGCGCTGCAAAGTTTGCCCTTGTACGTATCAACACCTGATGCAAAAAAGCTTGGTACTAATCCGCTTGGATCCGCAGGCCGCAAGCTGTCCCTTCTTCGACCCTCTCTCAATGTCTAAACGGCGTCGTCAACAGGTGTAAGCTGAGCTGAACACGCACGCACGCCGCCTGTCTCCTTCGGTAGACCTCGCCACACCATCGAGACCTCGCATGTCTCGCGTGGTCACAGACTTTCGATCAGAAGGTTCACGTAACCTGCAGGCGTGCTTGATTTTTGCATCAGAGCATGGCCACGTTACATTCGCAAGGATCGAGGGTGAGCCGCCTTAGGTGACACCACATCGACAAGGATCAGCTACCTGATTTGAGAGGTTCCGATTGTTTTGATGCATGATCTCAGCTATGTGCGAGGTCTCTGGACTAACGTGAGTTAACGCCGGGTCACCCTGGGGCTGATCGTGACTGGCTACAGTAGAAACGGTAACCCTCTAGATCCTTCTCGCTCCAAACGCACCCGATGCACGCATAAAGCATAACGTCCTCGATTGTCGATTCTATTGTTCGATGCTCTCTTTACGCTATCGCCCCGAGCTGGCATGTGCAAACAGTGTTTTGCCGAGTTGTGACCCGATACCTTCTCCGGGTTTGACAGGATGTGAGGCTGTCACGATGGTCGCCTCGTGGTTGTCTGGGCGCAGCGCTTTGCCGTACATCGGCTCTAGCGTTTCCGTCAAGCTGATTTGCGAAAGTCATGAGTGGTCGGGTGAAGACTTTTCGTGATATCGGAAGGCGTGCTTTTCTGAGTGCTTTGCAAAGGAGCGACGTGAGGTTACGGCCTAGCCTAGCAATAGGAAGCTGTGAATCAGAGGGTGCACCACGAAGACGAGACCATATTTCTAAAGATTGTGACCTATCGTTCGCCGTTTTCTGTGAGAACAGACGTTGAGCTCTGGTGCTGATCCGTTCCAAATCAGTGCAATCCACGGTCGCCTAGGTGCAGAGTCACGAGCTGTATCGAGTCCTGCGCGCTTCCTGTTCGTCGGCCTTCAATGAGGTCCCTTGCCCTGTTTCGACTGTGCTGGCTCTAACCAGAATCAGGAGGAAAGTCGCGCTGAAAGCCATTCGAAAGAAGTATGCAAGAGTCGACAAAAGGATTGGAGAGCTTACGGTCAAGGCTCTTTCAGATGTCGTCGGATAGCTGTGCGAGTGAAGCTTCTTGGTCACTTCGAAATTTGATCCCACACCCTCGTGAAAGACCACGACAGCAACTAAAGATGCGTCTCACCACTTTCGCGCTCATGGCATCGACACCCGTAATCGTACGCAGCACGAACTCTACCAAAATACCCCGCCTGTAACGGGGTGAATCGTTACATAACAATTTATAAGAAATTGTTAATAGAATATAACTATAAGAGTTATATTCTCAGAATATTGTCATAAGGACAATATTCTGTAGCACTTCCAAGTAGTTCCTAATTGGTTGATATAGGCCATTATATCAACCAACGAAGACGCGCCACGACAGACGCACGCAATGAGTGGTGAGCAGATAACTGATTTACACATTTGTATTTAGACATAGTTAGATGAAGATAAATAGTGATTTATTGCAGACATTAACTATTATAAATACAGTTCTACTTTTTACTCTAACCAAGTACTCGCTTCTTCTTACCGTCTTCCTCTGCACGTACGAGTGTACGTGAAGTTACGAGGCACCGCCTTATTCTGTTATCAGAATAAGTAGCTTGTACTGTCACCAGTACAAGCTTCAGGGTGCCCCGTTACACCTGGTAGCACTTCGTAGTCCGTCCAAGGACCGCGTTCACATCCAACATGAATATGTTGGATGATGAAGATGACCAAAGCTTTCACGCTACGCGTGACGGCTACTCCCATTTGAGCGATGTCGAATGGGATGCGGTTGAACGAATGGGTTCGACCATGGGCATCCATGCTGTTAGCGTCATGCTAGAGGCTCTCAATAGAGATGCCCAACATGCTACTATCGCCAAGTTCATTCAAAATGAACTTGACGCAGAACGCGAGAAAGTAGCCTTGCTTCACCAACAAGGTTCTCAACAAGCAGAGTTGTTGAGAGAACAAGGTGCTCAACAGTTTGAACTGTTGAGACAGCAGCAGGCTGCTGCTGGCGGGTCGATGCACTCGCGTCGGCCCGAGACTTTGAAGATTGACATCTCAAAGTATAGGGGGTCGAAGAAGACTCCCTCTTGAGATGGTTCGTCGAATTGGATGACGCCATAAGGGCGCGTCGCATCGACGACGGGGATATGCAAGTTGCATTTGCCCAGTCAAATCTGGCAGGACGTGCCAAGACTTGGGCACTGGGGCTCAAGCTGCACGACCCATACGCGTTTGGGTCGTTGGAAGTCTTCAAGTCGCGGCTCAGACAAACGTTTGAACCGCCTAGAGCTGAGTTCAGAGCTCGAACCGAACTCTTGAAGCTCAAGCAGGGTAAGCGTGATGTGCACGCTTACGCTCAACATATACGACATCTCACGAGTTGTATAAGTTCCAATCCGGTGGATGAACACACGTTGGTTTCGGTGTTCATGCAGGGTCTTGCGGATGGTCCCGTCAAGACTCACCTGTTCCGACTTGAACTAGATTCACTAGAACAAGCCATTTCAATTGCGGAGCAGGAAGACTTCAGTCTGAGACAGGCTCGCGCCAGCTCGACATCATATCGTCAACCGAGACGATATGACAACGGAGGTCCAGAGCCGATGGAACTCTGTTATGTAGAGAGCGAGAAGGCTCGCTCTACAGGCTACAAGAAGTTGCAGAGATGCAACAGATGTCAAAAGACAGGACACTACGCTTACGAGTGT